GGTAATGATTAGGTGATGTTAGATAAATACAAACATACATCAGCCTTGTCTTCCTGCAACCATTCAAATGCCCTTTTCACTTCAAATTCGACATATTCAGAAGCTTTGGATCCAGACACAATAGCTAGATGGCCCATAGCCTTAGCTACAAGCTCCATCACCCCCACGTCACTTGAGGGTAGCAAATTTCGTAAATAATTTGCAAATCTACTTATTCTGGAAGTCATATTCCCTACATCAGCCCCTATCAAGCAAACTGGAATACAGAGTTATCAATTGAGCAGAAATTTATAAAATACAAGCATAATATAACAGTTGTTTGGTTTTTATTGTTTCATTTGGGTACATAAAGTAGAGGGATCAGAGCTACAGGATCAAATCAGAAATATTTCCTTGTGTGAACAAATAAAACCGATTGCAATTTTCAATTTTGTGATTTCTATGAATTCAAATACACCATACAATGACCAAGATAATAACATACATAACTGTTGAAAAAACAGTGACATATAAAAATTAGGGTTCCTAAATGTACTTGATACTGCTGTTTTGACGTTTTTTAATATACAAAAAACGTCAAAACAGCAGTGCCAAGTACATATAGGAACTCTAATGCATCGAAGTCTAATGCAAATAACCTGATTTAGTTCCACTAATTAGAATTTTGTGCCATGCCATTAATTTTATAGTGATTTTATAGTACTTTATAGGAGACTATTAATTTTATATAATCACACTAGTTTCTGATATATGGTTGAAATTCTCCATTCATGATGAATATCTTCAAATAAATTTGGGCAATATCCAAACAAAATTGATTGTTTTATACCAATAATTCCGATAAACATATTACAAACAATATAATTGATGAGTTGAATACTTCACATCAATTTTATTTCAAGTTCAGTGTTTGATATAAATGAGCAAATACTTACCAATAGCAAGTATTCCTCCTTTTTTCTCATTGATATCATTGCTGGATACCATCTCAAAGATGTGATGATTAAACTCATCTAGGAAACTGTTTATTTCATCAGCAGTTGCTTCCCTCAGCTCACTTTTCACATAAAGTGATAAATCGTTTACAGCTTTGAGACGGACATGTTCATGCCGAGATTTAAGATTACTGACGAACTGTAATAAAGCAACTGTGGACATTTTGGTGAGTTTATTCTGAGCACTTCACTGATAGTATCAATTCAACTGAACATCCACATAATGTTCATCAATTGGAATCATTCAGGATTCGATGTACATCTGGAAGAAACAGTATTTTTTGGCTGAAATGTGAAATACAGCTAGACTGAAAATAGTGAAAATATCATTATTTTAAAACTTTTGGGAAAACATTCACTGACATCTCTAGAAACCTCATCCATAGAATATGAGGTTATGTTATTGTTGTTGTGATTTCTTTTCACAGAACATGAGAACACAGAGGAGTTGTCACTGTGTGAACTTAGCTGCCGAGCGACAGCCAGCTGCTAAATTTTCTAGCAGCTTCGATTTCCGATGATACCCGAGAGTTCATTGGCGCCCAATCTCAAATTAAAAAGTACCCGGCTGATGGCAGCCAGATGCTTTTAATCTTGCATAATAAAAAAATAAGTTATTTCTCGAATACATTGTTATAGATCTTGTACTGGTTGATACGATTTTTTGAAATAAAATCAGTTTTGGGAGCATCTCATTCTCATTCCCAAGAAACTATTCCTGAAAATAATGATTGATAATGACAAAAAGAATTCACTATTTCATCCTGACAGTGCAATGCGAAAAACTTGAAATGATTTTTTGAAATAATATATTAGTTCTATACAGGCAGAGGGGTGGATGATGGACATATCTCATCCCCATTCACAAGAATCTCTCCATAAAAGTTATGGTTGTCAATGCTATGAAGGGGATCTATAACAATGAATTCGAGGAATAACTCATTTTTTAATTATGCAATATTAGCTGCCATCAGCCAGGGTACTTTTTGACTTGAGATAGAAGTCTAAAAAAAGAATAAGAAGAAGATCGAGCGCCACTGGACTCTCGGGTATCATCGGAAATCGTAGCTACCAGAAAATTTAGCAGCTGGCAGCCAAGTTCACATGGCTGTCAGTTGTCGCAGTCACTGAGCCTTGGGCTTGAGTTGTCATTTGAGCTTGAGCTTGCTGCTTGAGCCCTTGGCTGAAATCTGATAATTAATGAGTCCAATAATATAACTTTTAAGGGGATGTTGATTGTACAGATGTGCTAATTGCTATCTATGTATGTCAATTTCCAACAAACGTCTGGTTTTTCTGCAAGATGAAATCCCAAACCGAATATAAATTGAAATCCGCACCAGAAGATGCCATTTCGGCAGTGAAATTCGGCCCCAACACCAACCAATTTCTTTTGGTTAGCTCTTGGGATGGATATGTCCGATTGTACGACGTAACTGCAAATAATTTGAGACACAAATATTCACATGATGCTGCCGTTTTGGATTGTTGCTTCACTGATGCTGTACATTCATACAGTGGTGGACTGGACACGGCTTTGAAGTCCTTTGACTTCAACACCACCAAAGAGAGCACAGTGGGCACCCACGGCAATGCTATCAAATGTGTTGAATATTGTAGTGAAGTAAATGGTATTATCACTGGTAGCTGGGACCACCATGTTAAATTGTGGGACCCTAGAACGCCCATGTGCAGTGGTAGTTATAACCAAGGGGAAAGAGTTTATACAATGAGTGTTTGTGGTGAAAAACTAGTTGTGGGAACAGCAGGAAGGAAGATCCTTGTGTGGGATGTGAGAAACATGTCTTACACAGTACAGAAACGAGAATCAAATTTAAAATACCAGACAAGAGCAATCAGATGCTTCCCTAACAAGCAAGGTTATGTTCTCAGTAGTATAGAAGGAAGAGTTGCAGTTGAATACTTGGACACCAATCCAGAAGTTCAAAAGAAGAAGTATGCTTTCAAGTGTCATAGAATAAAAGAAGATGGATTAGAGAAAATCTACCCAGTCAATGCTATAAGTTTCCACCCATTGCATAACACATTTGCTACTGGTGGCTCAGATGGGTATGTTAATATATGGGATGGATTCAATAAGAAAAGACTTTGCCAATTCCATCAATACCACACATCTGTGACATCTCTGAGCTTCAACCACAATGGGTCAGTTTTGGCTATTGCTTGTTCATATTCATTGGAAGAAGATAATCTGCCAAATCCAATGCCTGAAGACATAATCTATATTCGGAGTGTTACTGACCAAGAGACTAAACCTAAATATAGTTCTTAAATGTAGCAAGTATTGGTTTTACAATATAATCAATAATTTTGAATGTAACTATGTTCATAATTGAAAAAAAAAACTAGATGGGATACTGAATCCCTCAATCCATTCATACCTTCAGGTGTTATTCCAAATTTGAAATTCAAGGAAAAAATCTTACAAAGTGCTAAAAAACAAAGAAATTAAAATTCCCCTAAAATACTGGAGATATAAAAGTATTTATATTTATTTAATAATAATTATTTCATCTATACAATAATATAATTTAACTTTGAATAAAAAAAGTTGAGCTTTGTAAAAGTGCAACTACCTATTAAAATAAAATTTTCAAATTTTTTCTACAATAAGTTATTATATGGAAAGCATTTTTTAAATAAAGTTTCTCAGAGTGATAATACTGGTGACCTATAAAAAAAGAAATTAACATTTTGATAGAGATAGACATACTATGAATGTGACAGATGTTTCATCATCAAATCTCAACACATTTTATCAAATACAAGTACAGGCTGTTGTGCATTTTTTCTCACTTATCTCACTATAAGGACCTCAACAGATACACAAGAAAGGGAAAAGCTGCAACATCAAAAGATCTCTAAAGTATCTTTCACAGTTAACAGATTTTTTGGGTGTGTATAATTTGCAGACTGGAATAAAATGTTGTGGACTGGCTATTTTCATCAAACTTCGATGTTTTTATTGCATATCTGGATTCAGCTCACTGATATACATGATGAGAAGTTTCAGTTTTTTTTCTATGACCCCTCTGGGAAGCACTTTACTCGTGTGTTTTTTCATAAAATCTTGTGGACTGTGTATTTTTGAGAATCAAATCATCTCAATTTCACAATAAATCGATTTATCTCATGAAAATACAAGATGAAAAGTTTTTGAATTTTATGAAAAAACACAGGAGTAAAGTGCTCCCCAGGTGGGCTGGGGAAAAAATTCAAAAAGTTTTCATCCTGTATTTTCATGAGATAAATCGATTTATGGTGAAATTGAGATGATTTTACTGTCAAAAATACCCAGTCCGCAAGATTTTATGAAAAAACACACGAGTCAAGTGCTCCCCAGGGGGGCTGGGGAAAAATTCAAAAACTTTTCATGGTGTATTTTCATGAGATAAATCGATTTATGGTGCAATTGAGATGATTTTACCCTCAAAAATACCCAGTCCGCAAGATTTTATGAAAAAACACAAGAGTCAAGTGCTCCCCAGGGGGACTGGGGAAAATTTAAAAAGTTTTCATCCTGTATTTTCATGAGATAAATCGATTTATGGTGAAATTGAGATGATTTGACTGTCAAAAATACCCAGTCCGCAAGATTTTATGAAAAAAAGTGCTCCCGAGGGGGGCTGGGGGAAAATTCAAAAAGTTTTTATCCTGTATTTTCATGAGATTAATCGATTTATGGTGAAATTTAGATGATTTGACTCTCAAAAATACCCAGTCCGCAAGATTTTATGAAAAAAAGTGCTCCCCAGGGGGCTGGGGGAAAAATTCAAAAAGTTTTTATCCTGTATTTTCATGGGATAAATCGATTTATGGTGAAATTGAGATGATTTGACTCTCAAAAATACCCAGTCCGCAAGATTTTATGAAAAAACACAGGAGACAAGTGCTCCCCAGGGGGGTCATAGAAGAAAAACTGAAACTTCTCATCATGTATATGGGTGAGCTGAATCCAGATATGCAATAAAAACATTGAAAAGTTTGATGGATCCAGATTTTTTCAATCATTTTTTGTATCAATTTCACTTATCCCAAATCCAGAACCATTTTTCATCAATCTATTGTGCCCTACAATATTTGTTCTTTCCCAAATGGTGTTCAAAATTTATGATCATCTGATTTTTTCAAGTACAACCCTAGACTTATTCCCTTATTCAGTACTGTAACCAAAAAGTTCCTCTATCTACATTGAAGATTTGGATATTGTTTCAATTAGTTCAAAATAAAATTTTCATAGGAAACTTAAAAACAGTGATATATTTTTGAAATCTCAACATTATTTTCATTGACCATTTGCTGTTGTAACTTTGCCCCCTTTCAATGACTTTCTTATTTGTTATCATTTTTGAGAACCCTGTAGTGTTAAGCAGCAATTCAGTAAAATTCTGCATTGATTCTGGACTACTGTTTTATAGGGTGAGAAAATTGAAATGTAGTTAACAAATATGTCAATAATTATCATCACTTTCATAATTTACATGATATATTTGGAGGCATCAGTTGTCTGTCTTATTTTGTCTGCGTTGCAAAGCAGCAGCTAAATCTTTCTTGAGAGCTTGCTGTTGATTACTCTCAGCCAAAGGTTGGACAGATCTCAGACTATTCACAATATCCTTAGTTTTGCTGAAGTATATGTCATTGAGGGTATTGCGAATCTTATTTTCCATATCTTCCACCATTCTTCCAATGTTTGCAATGTGGGGGTTTATTTCATTAACACTTGCATCTTGCTCAATCTGGAATTGATAATTTTTTTATCCATTATTGAAGGACTTTGATGAGTACTCATTATTTTCTACCTGTCTGGTTAGACTACCACCTAGGTTCATTGTACCAGAACCTTGTTTATTGGTCTGAAGCCATAACATTGCAGTGGATGTCATTTTGTAATGTGAATTTCTCCCTGAGCTTTTTTCCTGGACTTCAACCACATGTAAGGAATCCCAACAACCCTTGATTTTTTTACTTCCATCTCCAGTTTTCTTGATTAGAATCACCCCTATAAATGTCAAATAATCACAGTATTCACAGCAGTATGACACTATTCATGTTTAACAGCCTCTGTGAGTTCACTAACCTGCAAAGCCATGATCTAAATCCCAGAAATAAACAGAGGAGACACCTCCTTCAAAGTACATTTCCCTATACTGATCAAAAGCATAGTTAGCATCCAGTTCAAGCTTCCTCAGACGCTCAGAAGGCATAGAGCCATCATCCAAAGGTGGATAATAAGTGTTTGACCATGGAGACCTACAGGAATAACACTTTATATCTTTCAAGCAAAACAAAATTGATAAGTTGTACCTATAAGAATCTCCATCTCTATTGTAGTCACAAAGCAGGTAATCCTTTCCAGTTTCTTTGTCTTTGGCAATCTTCAAGGGCTGGTCCACAGAAGATAGCAGATCTTCACATAAACCTGGTACTAAGTCAATCAAGTCAGTCAGATTCTTTTCAATTTGTTGAGGTGGCAGCCTTCGCATCAAGTCCAATGCACAATCAAACTGATCACCCTGAAATTGAACAACTATATGAAACTGAGACATGGAAGCTATGATGTAGATACTAGATATAAAATACAGGAATATTCCTTCAATTATTGTTGGCAAAGACAATGGGTGTGACTTTTGGATTATGTTACTACAATATAAAATAAACAAAGGATACTGGAAATGTAGCTTAGAAAGATGAAAATTATTTACCATTTTAGAGCAGGTTGACAATGTTAAAAAAATATTATAACTTCCCTCAGCTACAAGAATATAAGAATAATAAAAATATAGAAAATTTATTTAGGTTAATTTCACATTTCACTTGACTACTTGACAATTTTGACATAACTCGATACTCGATTTGACATTTTTAGGTTTGTTCTTGTTCGAAAAATGTGTCCTTGGGAACCCTCAAGCATGCGCAAATTCACAGAATTATCAGACTTCATCAAGTTCTGTGGAAACTGCGCATGCTCCTGACAGTGGTGACACTTCTGACCAGTGTTGTTCTTGTCATTACTTTTGTAATAGATCTATCACTATTCCACGGAGATTGTTAAGATATTACGATTTGTCATATATCTATTACTATTTGCTATTAGCACCAAAATATGATATTTTGTTACTAAAAAATCTATTTTTGAGTTCAGCGGATAATTATGTTCTGCTCTATGGGTCTATGTTCTATTTTTATGTCATAAGTTCTGTGTGACTTCTGCCTCATTCCTGTCAAAACTGTCTAATTTGTGCGATATGGTTTGACAAGAATGACATTCAGATCTATTACTTTTTGTTACAAATCTGTTACCTTTTCCCAAGAAAATCTATTACGAAAAAATCAGACCCAGGAACAACACTGCTTCTGACTTCTGACACCTTTTTTTGTGGATGTTTTGCCAAAGAATATAGGTTCCTCTTTGGTTTTGCAATATTTTTTGAATGCGAAAAAAACGTTAGATCCAACAACAGATACCTAAGGAAAAAAAAAAACAGAATTGAATGAATATTTCAGAAACTCGGTTTAAGGTGGCTATCTCGGTTTCTATCCAATATTCATAGATCACACACGTTGGATCATGGGTGAAAAACTTTTGAGATGGAAATCTCATCAACAAAATTTGTATGCCAACTTGTATTGCTATTACAGCAACCAAGAGATGGTTGATACCACCCTCGTCTTCAAAGACGGAGAAATAAAAGCACATGGTATAATCCTGTCTGCAGGAAGTCGGTTTTTCCGTAATATCCTTAACACCAATGAATCAGAACATAAAAAAAGTATAATTTTTGAGAGTACACCAAAGAAGATAATGGAATACTTGCTAGAATTCCTGTACACTGGACAGGTTGCTGTGCCTGTTAGGGCATTGAAAAAAGTCCTGGATGCCGCTAGACAGTATGAAGTGAGGGGTATCAGGACATCTAATATTGATGCAAATTCATCCCTTCAAATATTGGTATGTATACATATATACTAATATACTGTTTAAAACAACATGCATATCAATTATATCATTTATGTGAGATCTGCTCAATAATCTGTTAGGAATTGCCTATTGCATAAAAACTCCTCATCTTAACATTTCAAATTCCTATGGTCCAATGAAAGAATTCATTTTGCCAAATTATGTATGCCACTGGCGAAGAGAGATCTAATGGTAGTCTACTAGAAATTACTGCTGCTGATACCATATAATTTTGGTATATAATCATATTCTCTTTAGGAAAATGGCTCTGACAAAATATCTAGTCCAGAAGAAAGAGATGCCACCTTGGAAAATATTGAACAAAATTCAAGTTCATCTCTAGTAAGAAGGTATAGACCAAACCTGAGAAAAAATCCTATTTCTCCAAAAAGGAATGGAAATGTTGAATCATCACCAATAGCTTCAAAATCACCAAAATATGCCAGGATTTTGAATACTTCTAGGGTAAGTACTTTTTCTGACTTTTTCCTATGATTCTAGCTTTTAATACATTTGCTGATTTTGAAAATAATGTAATGTTTTTTGAATACCTCTACTCCCTAAGCTATTATTATAATGAAACATATTCAATCTGTTAGTTAACAATCCTCTGGGCATTGCAATGTTGGAGTATCATTTTTTATAACAACATCAATTTCTATGATGAAACAAATTCTTTCTACTAGCTGTATCATTAAAGATGTCAAATATTTTCAGTAAAAAAGTATCACTCCCATTATCTCTAACCACTCTAACCAGTATACTTATTATCTTCTCTGCATTTGTTTCTCATGCTTCCTCAAGGCCTTAAAAATATATAAAGAATCTCTTCTGCAGAAAAAATAATGTGCTATTGGCTGCATAATAATATTCTTGTTTCAATTTTAGGAGAGTAATATATCTACAAGCCCAAATTCTACAAATGGACAAGACATAGAATTATTACCTAGGAAAGAACACTCAGGATCAGGAAAATATTCTAGGATTGCCAGTACTTCTAGAGTAAGTATCATTTTGAATACCTCTACTCCCTAAGGTAGGTATCATTTCAATAAAAAAAAACTCAATCTGTTGGTTAACAGTCCTCTAGGCATTGCAATATTGAAGTAAATTTCTTTATTTATATTATTTATTGTTTCCAGTTTACTACCTATATCAATGTCATATTATCTGGGAGACATTTTGTATCTCAAATAAGCCAGATTTTTTTGTTTTTCTAGGAAAACATCCAAGGCCATAGGGAGAAAAATGTACCAATGCATGGTGAGTCATAGTACCTCCTTTTGTCAATAATTCTGCAACTTTTTATAATGACAATTTAATTCATGTATGAAAAATTGTAAAGCCCCTGTGATCTTGTCTTTATGACAGCAACAAAACTTTGCCAAAAGTGTGTGTGAATTAAATGTACCTATTCCTTAAATTGTCTTACCAAATTAGACTGGAGCATTTTTTCTGGGTCCGACTAAATTTGAAATTTATAAAATGAGTCTTGTTGCCTCTAGGAAATTTTACTTAAAAAACTGCCGTCCTAAGGACTTGTAATTTCTTGGAAGGCATTATTTTTCCTTCAATTTCCAGGCAGAAAAATTCTCATTTAAATGTCAAGTTCACTTCCACAAAAAAAAACTCTCCTTTAATTATAAGTGATAAAAGAAGTCTCACAGATTTTGATGATGAAGTCCAGCAGAGATTTACAGTTTGCTTGTTTCAGTGGAAAATTTAATTTCATTACTAACTCAAACTAAACTGGACATTGATAACATTGTGCTCCAAAATATAACCTGAATTCAAAGTAGTAGGGAGGTTCAAGATTCAGAATTCTGATCACCCTGTATCTGTTCCAATTATTAAATGTCAGTAGATAGTAAATCGAAAGTTGAGATACGGACATGAGAGCCGTTTTGACCGATAATGAATAGTTTCGTCACAAAAAAATCCTACAGTTGAAAAATCTCGATTTTGAACACCCTATATCTCTGTAATCATTCCTGCGAGACCCCAAGTGTGATGTATTGATGAAATCAGCTCTTCAGGGAGAATCTAAAAATGCAAAGAAAAATAGGGTGATCCATTTAAAAAAATCAAATAGTACCCTGTAGACCGTTTGTTCCGAGCACCCTGTATTTTCTGATGTAGCGGAAAAAAACTGAATCGAAAATCATTTAAGATAATATTTCAAATTTCGAAATCCCTTAAAAAATAACTGAGCTAGAGGGGGGGACATTTATGGTGAATCACCCTGTACAATGTCTCCAGTTTTCGATGATTTCGCGTGATATCTCAGCTATCTTTGTAGATAGAACCTTGCGGTTTTTGCGGTCCTGTGCCACTTTTTTGTGAAACTCATGATGGTCTAATCAGATTTTGTGTAACTCTTTTCGTTTTTGAGATACAGGGCTATTTTGAAAATTCATACTTTTTAGACCCCTTCTAAATCTACGAAGTTTCTCAGCAAAAATGTCAAATTAAAATCTCAACCCTTGGAGAATTTTACGCAGGATCCAGCAGTGGCGCACTCTTTTTTTTACGGAGTATGGCTTCGGAGATGCGACCCAAAGTTATGATTTTTTAAATGGAACACCCTGTATTTTATCAGCTCATTCCATTCATATTCCATAATACATGTTTGACACACTTTGTATTATCGAAAACTACGCCTTCCTGGACCGAGAATACATAGTTCTCAATATACAGACTGTAGAGTGTGTCAAACATGATTGTATCAAGGAATATTTGAAGAAAATGAATCTTTATACTAATTCAATGTCTATGGACATTTATCACGCATTTATTTTCACCCCAGTTTTTCAAGGAATTGTTTGGCACAAATTTATGCAATAAATTGGTATTTATTTTTTTCCATGGAAATGAATCAAATTATCGAAACAATTCAAGAGACCGAAATGTTGTATTTTTGATTGGTCAATAGTTTATGGCGCACATTTTATTGACAATAATATTCGGTAGGTTACCCCCGGGACGCCACTGGATTTCATAATTCCGATTGAATTATGGCTACATCAGCCCCCCATGACGAAATATATCATTGCCAAATTTCAAGGAAATTGGTGAAAGGACATTTGAGATATTCATAAAAAAACGATCTTTTTTTAAAGTTTTAAACACACTGTATGTTGAAAACTATGCATTTTCGGACCCACGTACATATGAAATAAAATTCTTATTACATCATGTAGAATCACCCCCTTGATTTTTTGCGCATAATTTCCGGACACCCTGTATAAAAAAACTAAAAATGCTCCAAAATCACTAAAACATTGAATTTTAAACGGATTGAATGGATTTTTCATATAAAAAAGTTCCAATTGACGGAATGTTTCCTTTGATTTTTCCATGAAGAGGACAAGGACAGTATCAACACTAATTAACTAACAAAACATAAAACTTAGTTACCCGATAGCAACAAATAAATAGTATAATAAAAAGTTCATAATTTAGAATGAGCACCTGATCAAATATTTACTAAAAAAATGGAATTTCGAAATTATTCAGTAACTTATTCATTGAATTGTTCATATTGATAGCCATTTTCTCTCACACACTTTCTCAATACGTATTATTTAGACATATTGAGAAAGTGTGTCAATTGTGTGTTAGGGAGAATGGATATCAATTTGAACAATTCAATAAATACGTTACTGAAATTCAATTCTTATAGTAAATATTTAATCAGGTGCTTATTCTAAATTAGAAAGTTTTTATTGCTATTCATTTGTTGCTTTCAGGTACCTAACTTTTGTGTTTTGTTATTAATTAGTGTTGATATTGTTTTTTGACCTTGTTACAGCGACAAAATAACATATTGTATAATATATTTGTAATAATTTGAGAGTTGGCTTGTAATGTTAGTTTTTCTGATATTTTTGACTTTGTCAGAATAATAAAAATACGTCAAGACGAAAATAGACAATTTTTACTAAAAGACTCTATTGAGACTCGATTAAAGTCCTCTTCATGGAAAAATCGATAGAAATTTTCCTTAAATTGGAACTATTTTTATATGAAAAATCCATAGCCCACTGTTAAAATCCAATGTTTTCGTAATTTTCGAGCATTTTGAAAATTTCATATCTATACATTATAAATTATTTTGAAGGGAAAAAAATAAGGAACTTATAATAAGGTTATAAAATACAGGGTGTTCCATTTGAAAAATCATAAATTTGAGTCGTACCTGCAAAACCGTACCAAAAAAAAAATTGACTGCTCCATTGGATGCTGCGTAAAATTCTCTATTCACGATAGAAAATAACACGTCGCCCCACCTAACGGCAGCAACTTGAACACTTCTGAGCGGTTTGTTTTGATGATATGATAAGAAACTTCGTAGATATAGAGGGGGTTCAAAAAGAATAAATTTTCATAATCGCCCTGTATCTCATAAACGGAAACAGTTATGCAAAATCTGATAAGGTCATCTTGAGTTTCACAAAACAAAAGGCACAGGGCCGCGAATACCGCAAGGTTGTATCTCCAAAGATAACTGAATCCGGACAGACTGTACAGTGTGTCCAGTTTTCGATGCTTTTGCATGATATCTCAGTTATCTTTGGAGATAGAACCTTGCGGTTTTCGCGGTCCTGTGCTACTTTTTTGTGAAACTCAAGATGGCCTGATCAGATTTTGCAGGACTGTTTCCGTTTATGAGATACAGGGCGATTTTGAAAATTTATACTTTTTGGACCCCCTCTATATCAACGAAGTTTATCAGCGAAAATGTCAAATTAAAATCTTAACCCATAGAGAATTTTATGCAGAATTCAGTGGCGCACAAAAATTTTTTTTTCGGGGTGTGGTTTTGAAAATACGACTCAAACTTATGATTTTTCAAATTGAACACCCTGTATTTTATAGGCTCAATAAATTCCTTATTTTTTTTCCTTCGAAATGATATATGATGTATGAATATAACATCTTCAAAAATGTTAAGAAATCACGAAAACATTGAATTTTAATAGTGGGCTATGGGTTTTTCGAGGGATTTTCATATAAAGAAATTTACAATTGAAGGAATATTTCCTTTGATTGTTCCATGAAGGGGGAAATAACAATTTCAACACTAATTAACTTGCAATACACAAGACTCAGATACCTGATATCCACAAATATATAGTAATGAAAAGTTTATAATGTAGAATAAGCACCTGATTGAATATTTACTAAAACAATTGAATTTCGAAATTATTCAGTGATTTATTCATTGAATTGTTCAAATTGATGTCCATTTTCCATCACAAACTTTCTCAATACATATTAATCATTGAAAGATGTCTTTGTAATTCCTGGAAAACTGCCTCTGTTGTTGCACAAAGTTCTTCAAGTATGTTGGGCCACTCACTGTATTAAGAAGTATTGAGAAAGTTTGTCAACTGTATGTTGGGGAAAATGGATATCAATTTGAACATGTCAATGAATAAGTTACTGAATAATTCCGGAATTCAATTATTTTAGTAAATATTTAATCAGGTGCTTATTCTACATTATGAACTTTTTATTACTATTTATTTGTTGCTATCAGGTACCCAAGTTTAGTGTTTTGTTAATTAATAAGTGTTGATATTGGTTTTGACCTCTCCATGGAAAAATTTAAAGAAATATTTCTTCAATTGGAACGTTTTTCATTAGAAAAATCCATAACCAACTATCAGAATTCAATATTTTAGTGATTTTGAACAATTTTGAGAATTTTATATTCATTCGTTATATATCATTTTGAAGACAAAAAAATAAGGAATTTAATGAGCTTATGAAATACAGGGTGTTCCATTCAAAAAATCATAAGTTTGAGTCGTATCTCCAAAACCATACCCCGAAAAAAAAATTTAAGTGCGCCACTGGATTATGCGTGAAATTCTCTATGCGATAAGATTTTGATTTGACATTTTTGTTGAGAAACTTCGTGGATATAGGGGGGGTCCAAAAAGTATAAATTTTCAAAATCGCCCTGTATCTCATAAACGGAAACAGTCTTGCAAAATCTGATTAGGCCATCTTGAGTTTCACAAAAAAGTGGCACAGGACCGCGAAAACCGCAAGGTTGTATCTCCAAAGATTTCTGAGATATCATGCAAAAGCATCGAAAACTGGACACACTGTACATAACCGAATGGAAAATTACAGATTTGGTGGATTCAGACGATAGCGATTCCACTTATATTAGGGAGCCGCAAGAACCTTGCACTTCCACCATTGCAAAGAATCCTGAGAGAGGCCAAGAAGAATCCGACGATGCGGTAGAAGTTGTAAATATGACTTGTGATCAAGTAGTTACACTCAGCACCTTGAGTCCAACTGGGCTCAGCAAAGATTTGTGCCAAGAAGAGGTTTCTACTAGTAACAATAAAAATAATACCAAGCAAAAAAGATGTGAGAATTTCCTGAGCACTGATGATGAAGAAGAATTAGTAATTAAGAAATCCAAGAGGAAGAAGAAACATATATCTCATAATAAATGTTCCAGTAAAGCACAAAATCCGTCTTCAACACATACTGAAGGTGTAGCAAAAAGAATATCTGGTAAGCGAAAGACCAAAAAATACGAGAAATTAATTTGTGAACGTCCAACTCACGAAGTGAACGAGTTCTGTGTTTTGTGCTTCAAATTTTTCAAAAATACAGTACAACACATTAAGGAAACACACAGGAAAATGTCAAAGAGTAAATTTCCATGTCCTGATTGCGGCAAAGAATTTTATAATGTTGCCTTTTTGGATAAAAAGAACCACAAATGTATCCAAAAGTAGATGGACTCAGCTTTATTTATACAATTTCTGGTGTTGAGTTGGCGGGAATTCGGTCGAAATGTTGAAGAAAACCAATTTTTAAATTGTCGACGTTTCGAAACTTTATTGTTTCATCTTCAGGACACTGAAGTAAAAACAAGAACATACATATTGAAATGATATTTTAAAAAGAGGGGTTTTGATGAAAGCAAAATAAGTTCATGAGAGACCTTAACACAGACACGAACATGAAGGAATGAACAAACTGAACTGTCGTTGAATCGTTTCTTTATATTGCAAAAAAGGCTCGTGAAAGAGATAATAATCGGGATTGGAAAAAGTCACCTGCTGATGATTCGGAATTATTGTTTGATTTTTTCTATTAAATTGAAATATGAGGTGTGTAAATTCTCAATATCCGATCTTTTGTTAACACATTTTGTTCCATGTTTGGTTATTTCAATTATTTCGTTCAAGAGTCTTTTTTTCAATATTGTCTGTTGTCTTATAATACTAACAGAATTGAAGTCAAAAGTATGGATTGTGTATATTTTTACAATCTCTGCTGTGTTCAGTCATCCTTTGTTGTAGATACCTTCCTGTTTGTCCTATATACACTTTCTCACACTCAGCACATGGTATTTTGTAAATGATATTTGATTTCAGATCTTTTGGTGTTTTTGTTTGGAGTCTCGTGAAGAAATGAGAGAAATGAATATTGAAAAAAAGACTCTTGAACGAAATGATTGAAATAACAAAACATGGAACAAAATTTGTTAACAAAAGATTGGATATTGAGAATTTACACACCTCATAGTTATGTCAATTTAATAGAAAAAATCAAACAATAATTCCGAATCATCAGCAGGCGACTTTTTCAAATCCCGATTATTATCTCTTTCACGAGCCTTTTTTGCAATACAGTGTGTCCCACTTACCATGCTCACCATGGGTATCTTTTTAACGTTGAGAGATACGAGGTCGGTTAAATGACACCGAATGTGGAGTTTGTCAAGGCCAACTATAATGTGAAAAAATATTTTGATAAAATCTATTCGTTTTTGTTTTATACGCAAAAAACAGATTTTGTTCATTTTCATGTCTCCTCCGTAACTTCTTTATTTATGAAAGTATTCGATTAGGAATTTCACATTCTCATGGAAGTTTTTCGAAGTGATTTCGGAAAAAATATGAAATTTATTCCAACTCTTCTAGAATTTGAGATATCAGCACCAACTTTAGTTTTTCAAATGTAGGTCATAGCTCACTATGACTTAGTTACAAACAACTTTTTTTTCTCTTACAGATGATATGTCGCAGTGTGTTGATAACAACGGAGTTATCGTCATTCATAAAAAAACAAAAAATTATTTGGAAGCCGCCATCTTGAATTTATAAATTTTAACAATAAAATCATGATCTCCGATCTCAAAAACCCCCACTTACCAATTTTGAATGGAATTGGACCAAATCTTGTCCGCCATCTTGGAGCAGCCATTTTTTTCAATTTCAACAAAAATTCATGTATTGTCACCTAAATTATGAACACCTGCCAAATTTCAAGTTAATCGGAGTTATGGAATTTTTGTTGAAATTAAAAAAATAGGCTGCTCCAAGATGCAGATGGCGGACAAGATTTGGTCCGATTCCATTCAAAATTGGTAAGTGGGGGTTTTTGAGGTCGGAGATCATGACTTTTTTGTTAAAATTTATAAATTCAAGATGGCGGCTTCCAGATGATTTTTTGTTTTTTATAAAAGACGATAACTCCGTTGTTATCAACACAAAACTATTACTGCGACATATCATCTGTGGGACAAAAAATAGTTGTTTGTAACTAAGTCATAGTGAGCTATGACCTACATTTGAAAAACTAAAGTTGGTGCTGATATCTCAAATTCTAGAAGAGTTGGTATAAATTTCATATTTTTTTCGAAATTACTTGAATATTTTCATAAATAAAGGAGTTACGGAGGAGACATGAAAATGATCAAAATCTGTTTTTTGCGTGTAAAACAAAGACGAATAGATTTTATCGAAATATATTTTCACATTATAGTTGGCCTTGACAAACTCCACATTTGGTGTCATTTAACCGACCTCGTATCTCTCACCGTTAAAAAGATACCCATGGTGAGCATGGTAAGTGGGACACACTGTATAAAGAAACGATTCAACGACAGTTCAGTTTGTTCATTCCTTCATGTTCGTGTCTGTGTTAAGGTCTTTCATGAACCTGTGTGTACGTATTTATACTTCATGTCGATTTTATTCATTTCACTATTTTTAAACCCGGAAAGCCACCCTAAATGTAAGTATCTATCAATGTTGTTTTCTGTAAAGTGTGAGAAGTGTTTTATTTTCAACGATTGTTATTTTACATAACTTATTTTGCTTTTATCAAAACCTCTCATTTTAAAATATCATTTTAATATGTATGTTCTTGTTTTTACTTCAGTGTCCTGAAGATGAAACAATAAAGTTTCGAAACGTCGACAATTTGAAAATTGGTTTTCTTCAACATTTCGACCGAATTCCCGCCAACTCAACACCAGAAATCATATTCAACGGTCGCCATTTTATTTATTTATACATTTTTCAGTTTTTTGGTTGCTTGTTGTTTTATATAAAATGTATAGTTTGTCAACATTTTTGGACCACTTATGATCCATCTTATTCTTTCTAATTTTGAATAAAAATGGTCCTAATTTGAAATTCACTTTTAGACAAAAAAAGGTTCACTTTCAGTACAACAATTTCGACCATAGCCATAGGCTATTGAAGTCCTATTTTTCAAAAAATTATCGTTCCGTCTTTTGTGTTTGAAATTGAATTTATAATAAGAATGGAAAAATTCAGCATAAGGATAATAATAATTTGATATTGTTAAATATTTATTGACCTATGTACATTTATTTATTTTTTATCCTTACTACAAGGTTAACTTCATAAGGTTTTTCCCAGTTTATTCAAATTACCTATATGTTTATTCCAATGTATATTTTGTAAACGTTTTTGAATAAACTTATATTATTATTATTATTATTATGAAATGGGTCATTTACTTTTCCAAATTGTCGCTGCTATTTTATGTCTAATTAGGTTTAGGTTCAATATGCTTCATCAGCAGTACCTACCATAGGCAGCGTCATTTTAAAACACCCTGTTATATATTTTTTTCAAAACATTGAAAAAGCCCAATGAAAGTGAATCTGTTTTTATCTTTTATTGTATACAAAAAATGTTCTCTTTATTTGTTAGGCTTTATAATTTTTGCAGGGCCATTTTGAAACACCATGTTTATTTTTTTGCCAAACATGTATTTTTATTGTGTGATATTATTATTATTATAAAGTGTTGAATAAACATATATTTTGTAATATCCTTAGTTTTTTGTCTTTCCATGTATGTATCTCACAAATTGAGGGCTAACGTTACCATTACCTATTTCATTGTCCACCAGATGGCCCTACTGAGACGTGAAGTCAGAGTTGGTAGAACTGATGACTATTTTGTACAAATTATAATCAGTTCTACCAACCTTGCGTGAAGTCAGAGTTGGTAGAACTGATGAATGAATATACTTCTTCTTTTCCTGTCATTTGGCCACTTCCTACATTTCCTAAGATGCGAGTTTTGAATGTCCCCTCGGTTCCTTGCGGAAGAGCAGGATGAACAGAAGATGGTGTAGAAACTCCTATAAATCCCATCTACTGTTTTTCGGTCAAAGTCTTTGACCTACGGACTACTTGACAGAAGGATTCTTTTCAATATCGCGGAATATAGGTCGCATTATACCCGTTAGATGGCGAAATCTGAACCAAAATTCAAGGTTGGTAGAACTGATGATAATTGAAATTCCCCAAAATTACAGTTTCGTACTTCCAAATTTCATCTCATTTGATTTGAGATTATGTTATAATATAATTATTTTTGATGCAAGCGGTATGTAAGTGCCGTTTTCTGGACATAATATTACGAATCTAATTGCACTAGAAGAAGCCCCATAATACTATATCAACAAAACGACAACGTTTTATTGAAATTGATGAAAAGACAGTTGAGAAATGAATAGAAAAAAGATTTTTCATGGAAATATTAATACCCTCTATCTCGAAAACGAAGCAAGTTTTAGGACACATGTTCATATATGAACTTTATTTCCTAAAATATCACAAGGAATCACCCCTTGAATTTTTTCGGTGTTATTTAGATACACCCTGTATATAGTATAATTTCATAAACATAAATTCTATAAACAAATTTTAGTTGAATTGGCATTGCATCAGATGAATAACAAATTCTACCATATAGAGTATGGAATGTGAACATTTTCAATAAACCTTGATATGAAATTATATTATTCGTTACCAATATTATTCTTCTACCTCACCTAGGATTTAATATTCTTCCATAAGGAAACGTTCTTCAATCAAGCAACTATTTGAATGTTGAAGCTGGAAGATATATGTCAATTAACATTTAAGTTTCCTGTAGATCGTTAACGAAGAGTTGGAGAACACATAATTATGTTTATAGGAAAAAGTATTATTTTGACTTGAAAAATTAGCCCCTGAAATGTTGATACTGACTTTTGAAACACCCTGTATATTAGGCTAAGATTCTTGAAATAAGAAATCTCATGCAGAAATGATATTTTCATTCTTTCCGTATATTCCATATTCTCAAGGGAATTTTTAAAAATACCGCCACAGCAATGCAACAGCACCACAGAACAGCACTGAGCGAGCGAGAGCAATGACGGCTAGATATCTAGACTGTCTGACGGGTTATACATCTGTTCATTAAAGGCTTATTCGTTTGTGCTTGCTCAACTTGCTGAACTCTCCTTGCAATCACTGTACAATGCTTGACTGATTCAGTTCAAGTGGAATGTGTCAGTTAGTTCAGGATGAAAGAATATCACTAAGGTTTCAAGTGGGTTCAGGCAAGGACCATAATATGGGATGGGTTTCAGGCTCTCGTCAAATATTCGCGGTTATCAACGTCGTTAGATGAAGTTGCGATGACATTAAAAACCTTTCCATTGGTATGAACTGTAGGACTGTTTCTGCACTCAACGTATATTATATTACTCACATGTGTTGAACAGATGTGAATACACATAATTGTGCAGCCACCGAGATGCCTAGAGACTCTCACATGTGGAGTCTTCTTTCATTCACCGGTGGGGCTCCATCAATCCACCCAACATATATTCTTTGGTGGATTTCAGTTTGATGTAACCACGCGTTCATTTATTACTGTTCGACATTGCAAAACATTCCACCGATGAACAGCTGTTTGCCATTTTCCTAAGAAAAAATATGGATGAATTGATCGAAATCAGCCTAGAATATGAGAATAACAAAATAGATGTATTATTGACACCAACAGAAATTGAAGGAATTTCGAGTGGTAGGTAGTTTTTTCTTTTCCATCATGAATTTCAAGAAATTAGTGCAAACATTCAGGAAACTTCGATAGCAACAGAGAATTCTCATTGATGACTATCCATATCATGATAATTTAATGCCCTGTTTTGTATGAAGGTTGTTGAGAATTTCCAACCTATCTCGTCTACTCCCCAAAATAAATAATATGTCATCCTCGGAACTATCAGAAGAACTGCTAGAACTTCTGAATCTGGAGACAGGGACTCCATTATTTCTTTCAATACATTATTTTCCATTTTACATTAGTTTTCGCCAATTCTGAGCTTCTATTTGAGAACAATCTAAATACCCATCAAATCGCGAGAAGAAACATAAATAAAGGAAAAAACAGTTGTGATTATCATGTCAAATAGCTGCGTTTTTTTTTTTCAACACTGATGAGTCCAACGATTCGATGTATCAAGAGTGACGTCACTTCCATCAATGATGAAAATGCGGTGTAAGAAAGAGCATGCCTGATGTTATCAATGGAAAACGCCACAGAAACAGGTTTCATTCGAAATTCGAAGTAGCCAATCGAAACACAGGACGCACACTGGAAACATTCGAAACTTCATCTGATGACCTTGAAAAGAGTCGAGAACGAGAATACAAACTTCAAACTTGAGTTGGATACAAATTGTAAATACAAACAATAAAATATTAAAATCAACCATCACATCGCAATCAGAAATAAAATCGAAACTCATTTAACATTTCCTAGAGCCAATAATATATGGAAAAGATAACAAGTGGAAAATGTTAACAATCACCAATTAAAATAGATGAAAATGTTAGAGTTCACTTTTCTAATATTAGAAAAATCGATAAGTGCCCTTCATATAAAATGGAAAACAGGAGCAATAAAATTAAGCTAAATAAAAAACCCGGATTCGTCAGTTTCATACTGCCAAATATTATTCCTAATAAAGTAGGTGTAGTTAATAGAAGTAAAAGTGCCCATGATAGCAATCTGCACTTGACTTCCAGAGAAGCTAACAGTGATGTGGCTATATCAAAAAGACCACTGAGTTTCAACAGCAATAGAGGACACATGAATGGTCAACTATCAAGCAATACTGCACAAGTGAGTACCTATCATTTCTTCAAATGGGATTCAAATAATTCCTTGGTCATGAAATGAAAATCCTCTTTAGTACTTACTATTGAAAAAACAATCATTAAAATGCATTCTATCTTCCTTAATTTCAATTGCAAGAAAAAGTTGGAAAACATAATGAGTAGGTACTACATACTCAATGGTACTACACATCGTGGGTATCTCAATAGGTTTGACATATCTGGCTTCAGAATGCTTCAATAACTTCTGAATTTCAGGATCCTTATGATAGTCATAAAATTATTGTTTCCACCTAATTTTTCACAATCTATTATCAAGTTTAATATACCTATGATCATATTCTAAATATATTATATTTTACTGTATTAAAATTGAGGGTGCTTATTTCTGGAAATGCTGCTTCTATTCTACCAGAGAAAAACTAAATGAAAGTGATTTTTTTTTTATTTTCCAGAAATTGAATAGACAAAGTAGCCTCTCTGATGGAAATATAGCCTTTGAACATGATGATTCTACTGAGGCTACAGACAATAATCATTTAATAGAAAAATTTTCATCACATGAAAGTGTATTCAATTTGAAAGGAGGTAGGTAACTTTGTAGGTGGAAACACAATAATTATTTTCATACTTAGTTTGTTGTGAGTTACTAACAAAATATTCTATAGGTACCTTTATGAAGACCCTATGTGCATCTTGCAGGATTATGTTCTTTGATATATTAGGTTTTCTTTAGAGTTTTCTGTCTTACTATCAAGAGTTGATTTGAAAATGTAATAGCTAATTACATTCATTTGAAGATGAAATTTTCAAACTATAGATAAGAGAAACCCTCATTTTGTTATTGATATTATTTCTTGATTTTTTATGGTGAACTCAAAATATCTTCTTTTCATAGAAATCTAACATTGAAAGTAGAAAACACATTTGAGCATAATCCTCAGCATAATCATAACTCTAGTTTTAGGATGTGTTCACCATTTCTATTTTTCAATAAACAAATGGGTTTCAGCTTCCAGAGGAGAGTTAGGGAAATTTTGACTTTTGACAGATACTTTATCTCCTCCATACTCCATGTGTCAGTGATGCTAACTGGTTATCTTGAAAATTGTAGTCTTCATTGCTAGTTTCAGCTTTTCCATAAAATTGTAAAGAAACACAGTAATTCATATAATTGGTATTTTCCATGAGAACCCATATGTTAGAGAGAGACAGAGAATAGATTTTAATAGGATTAAAAACAAACACATTTTTTTAACAAGCTCTTACCCATAATAAAAAATCTAGGTGAGCTGTATGTGAAAAACAAAGTTGATGATGGCAGCTCAAAGATGAAACGTTGGTTTGAAAAGCTGACAACACCATCTTGTAGAACAGAAGAAGTAGGGCATATAATGGTTGTGATGCAATAGCATCCAGTAAAATTATAGTGTGTATGTCTAGGCCACCTTGTACAACAATATCAAATTTCATCAAATATTCAGTCCTGGACCGGGAGCCCACAGCGTGTTTTTTGTGTCTCATTTTGTTCACATTTAGCAGTATAAGAACTGCCCAAATTCCACTTTTCATTAAACGGATATGAGCTCGCCGAATAAAAATCGTGGGGGCCGCGTGGGTGAAGTTGTATTAAAAATCCCGGTGCCTCGATCTCAAATCAACTTACCGTTCGGCGAATGTCGCAAGTTACTGTAATTGAAAAAAAAATTGTTTCGGCATTGCCGAACGTGTGGATTGGATGCGCAGTTGCGCTGTATATTGAAAACAATTTTTAGACAAAAATTATAATTTGTTATGCTGCGTTTATAGATTCAGTTAAACTAACAATTAGGAATTATCAATCAACAATTAATAATCATGGCAGTGTTTATACATATCTGACAATAATTAAGGATTAGATGTGAAATATCTTTTGACTAACAATCAAAATTTTGTTAAAAAGTGATTTTCAATTCATGAATCCATAAAAAGTATTTCAATTAAATATCACCCATCTCCATTTGAACAGTAACAAATCCAATCTTCATGTACCGCCTCCAGAATTTCCTAATTCTTAGTTGTTAAGTTGAAAGTTGGCCAACTTTGTATCTTAATTTAAATGACAGATGTAAATGTATGCACCCTCAACCAAAGAAGATTAACGCTATAGCGTTAATCAGAGCTGGGCAGTACTCGAGTAAATTGTACTCAAAATTGTACTCGAGTACTCGAAGCACTCAGTAATCGGTACTCGTGAGTACTTTCATTTTGACGTACTCAGTTCCCGAAAAAAATTGAGTACTTTTCACTTTTAGAGTTCTGAGTACTTGTGGTTCCCACATCTGGCGAGTAACGAGTACGAGTACCAACGTGCGCAACTGCGCACAGACAAGTCTCAGCTTGTCTTGAATGTCGTGCCTCATTTTACATTTTATTTCGTGCAGTGGATAGGTGTGAGTTGTTATTGTCAGCATAATACGTTTACGCCTCATGGAGTGTTATTTTTGGTAAGTTGATGAGTTCTACTTGGAGTCTCTAATCATTTTTTTCATCACTAATACTCATTACTCGTTACTCATTTTTCACGAGTACTCACTGAAAGTTGTAAAAGTACTCATTTGCTTCAAGTACTTCTCATATAAGTAGTTGTTAGTTTAATTCTTAGTTCAGTTGAATCCGAGGTTGAATCTATAATCCCAGCATTCTGTTAATTCAACGAATTATTTATAATAGCTCGAGATAATATGATCGCCGAACATTTTGGTTGGTTCGGGGAGCAACCAACCTTGTAGAGTTTTATCATACATTAATGATCGGCATTGATTTCATATTATTTTTTCCGTTGACTTCGTATCAACGAGTATGTTTAATGTTTATGATGAAATTGATCATTAATGACCCCTATTAATGACCAATTAGTCTATTAATGCACGATTGTTGTATAGGCAACCAAACATACACCGCTTCCATTGATTGCACTATCGAAAATATGGATTTCATTGAAGATTTTACGTTAACGGGTTAGCCTCTTGACGTTTCTGAAATGATTTCATTCCCAGTTAACTAACAAAAAGGGATTATTTTCCATATTGATTACTTCGAAAAATGTCAAATGTCACTGATGTCAGTGACAAGTTCGTTTTTAATCGGCGTCTCGGAGTTGGAATGTAGAGGGTAGTTGGCTTCATTCTATCATAGTAAAGTTCCTCAAATAGAACTCGATCCTAAACGAAATTATCATTGAAACAATGAATCACTATCGGCTTTAATTAAAATGATATATACTTCCTCCGTCAGGTCAGAACAGAATGAAGCCGACACCCACAGGGCCACTGGGCACACGCGTCTAGCTATTGGTCTAGCTCAGACCAGTGAATCGGTCAAACATCGAGGTGAAGTGACGTCATCCACAACACATGATTTTTTTCCTTCTTTATATCACATATTGAGAATCATTGACTACTACTAGATACTACTGGATACAAAAAACATCAAAACAGCAGTGTCAAGTACATTTAGGAACTCAAACTACGAGTAAACTGAGTAAAGCAATAGCTTTGTGGTCTGTGTACCTGACTTCCACGGTGGTAACTGCGAGGCATCAATTTTTTGTAGTAGGTGAAGACATTGACTTCATATTCTAGGGTTGTGATGTATTCTTTAGGAGCTTCAAAAGGATGACACACAAGACCCGCCTTTCCATCAATTACATTTTCATCTGTCAATTTGACTCCAAAATATAGTATTCGTGCATCAATTTCATTACCTCAAGTTTCAATTTCTTCAGTTGACCCGTTCAAAAAAACAAAATTAAAGAAAAGCACTGTATCACCTACTTTCATTCTCTCAGTATCTTTTGTTTCTTTTTTGTTGTTTTCGTATTACAAAGTTCAACCAAATCGGTCAAGCCGTTTAGTATTTTTAAATCATCCTGAAACCATACAAATACCCATATAAAATGTGGAACGTGGAATTTTTTTTTATACTGCTGAGTGTGAACAAATGTGACACAACAACCACGTTTTGGGCTCCCCGGTCTATCCTATTCGTTTTGTGGAAATACTTCAAAAATTTTTAGGCGCAAATACACTCCATCTCATTCCAATCAGCAAAGCAAGACAGAGAAACTTCTTACAGGGTAAAATCGGTGCTAACTCTCTTTTGGGGCCATGTGAACTGGACAGGGTATGCCCTAATAGGGAAATAACTATTTTCGTAGGTACTTGGAATATGAATGGTCATTCTCCGCCAAAGTAAGATAACTTTTTATAATTCCAGCGTCATTTTGATTTGATGGATATTTCTTTTGTATTTTCAGGGAACTGAACGATTTCGTTCTGCCTGTTAATCTTGAACACGTACCGGATGTTCTTTCAATTGGTACACAGGAATCGTCTTCCGAACGATACGAATGGGAGGTCGGCTTGCAAGAGACCATAGGTCCCTCGCATCTTTTATTTCATTCGACATCTTTGGGTGAGCCCTCAGACTAAATAACAATAGATTGACACCGCGATTCACTCATGAGTAATTAAAAAGTATATGGCAACAATCCCAAACGCCAAACACGGATATAAATTAATGAAATCGGGAATGGTGGGCTTAACTCCACTGAATCATTGCCAGAGAATGGGCGTGTACACCTTAGTAGAACTTTTAACTCAAACCATGTATATAATGATCCTTTTATACATAAATAATGATTGACTACATAATTCGATCGAAAAATTAACTGGAATGTTTTATTTTTGGACATAAATAATAGTGCCCTCTGAAAACGTTCCCTCTTATGACGTAGAAACCTCATCTCGCCATAGTTAAAAGAAAATACCAAACGCTCGAGGGAGACTGAGACAACTGATATATTAATTCTTTCAACTGTGATCTCACGCTAATTCACTCTGTCAGAAATCATGTATCCTTCATCTCTGTCTGGAATAGTCTTGTTTCAGTATTAGGGTTTTGACGTCACATCATCGCCTCGTTCTCAAAGGTCCGAAAAATCGGGGATTTCAATAATTTTTTATTAAACGTAGGGGGCTCACAGCAAGAAACGGTTTGCGGTGGTGAGCTAGTTTGGGTGAGTTCTATCGAATTATGAAATAATTTTTTTTTGTGATATAAGCCCATTGATATCACACTATAACCCATTCCAAGTAAGAAGACAGCATTGGAAGCCATAGAGAAACGTTGACTTCCGCTATGATTGGTTAATATTGGAGGCAATATTACAACTGCCTGTTCTTCACCTCGCACCTGACAGCCAGAACCGTCTTTCACCTTTCCGAGTCCCTGGGCACATTAGAATAATGGGGCCCCTACGACCATAATAAAGTACTATCTTGGTAGAATAGACAAATAACGTGAAATGCGAAGTTTCAGCATTATTTTTTTTTTACAGTTACAATAGATATGATGAATAGATTATATCATGTAATCCACACTAAGTAACCAGCATCCACGATTAGTCCTTATACTCCTTATATATATAAGTATCTATGCTGATTGAAGATGTACCCTTCTAGATTTTAGTTGAGCAAAATCGTTAATAACATTTTCAAAATCTTTATTTTCGAGCATATCACATTCTATCGACATTAGCGACAAACTATTCAATCTCTCTTGAAGCATTGTACTCGATTTCACTTCTTGCATGCTTAGAAAGATTCTCAGTGCGATTTATAGATTGGGAAAGGTGTCTTAAATTTTTGGTCTATTTCAAAAGGTGATATATTTCCAGTATACTATCAGTTTTTCTATTTTTACTCTGATCAATTTTCAAGTATTCTGTTAAATCCATCAGACATTCCATTTCTTACTCTTTCTCGTTGACGTCTTCATAGTAGATTTCAGCAATTTCTTTGCAACTTTGTCTCAACTCTTCGGAATTCAGAGTTTTCAAGTGAAAAAATAAACCAAACTTCAATTTTTATTTCACTTTTTAAATTATTATTGCGAAAGGCAATTGAAATAAAAAATTATATTGAAATTTATTGAACATGCTGCATTCGGTAAGCCTGATTTTCAGGCGAGAGTAGAGTAGCTATCGGGACTAGGGGGCCCCAATCCTCGCGGGGCCCTGGGCACGTGCCCAGTGTGCCCAGTGGGGAAGAGGGGCCTGCTGACAGCATCTTTGTTTTTCCCGCAATGTTGCGGGAAAATGACACTTCCCAAACTAAATTGCGTGCGGGTATAGGGTGAATTACGCACGCTTGTAGAAAAACGTTTTTTCCCCTCCTGAACAATTAGCTCTGAAAGACTTAGGAGGTTTTGACAGTAAGCCGACAAAACTTAAATGCTTTACGGTGTCTCTCTTTTGTTATTGAGTCTGAACACTCACCCGCAAATGTGAAACCGTCCGTGATTATCCCCACCATTCGAGATTTTATGCATTCATCCGTGTTTGACGTTTGTTGGCGTATGCCTCTCGTTGATTCCTGAATGAATCGCGGTTTTTCCGCAATCATCCGCTTGCAGGCACTTTACACATCTCGACGTTCATCCGCCGCGACCTGATCTGGTACGTCTCCGTGCCGGAAGAGGCCAGTCTGTCGGTGAGACCGGGCACCGCGTTTCGCACCAAAGGCGCCGTCGCGTGCTCGTTCTCGGTGTTCGGCACGTCGTTCCTGTTCGTCACTGCGCACCTGACTGCGCACCAGGAGAAGGTGAAGGAGCGTGTGGGGGACGTGAAGAGGATCGTGCACTCGCTGGACCTGCCGAGGGTGCTGCCTTGCAAGAACAAGAGTAAAGGTAAAGGTATATGGCTCTAAGCGTTTTCGGAAACTTACTCGGGTTTATCGGATCCCTAACCTGAACGTTCGGTTACCTATAAACCGAGTCACCTACCTCTGTTCGGAAACTCAAGTGTTGTTAACTCGATAGGCGACTGAATTCAAATTCGTGGAACTATATGAAAGTACATTGTTTTGAAACTTCACTTTCGACAGTTTATTTGTGTGCTCTTGTGATTCGAGGGTGCCTTTCAGCAGATATTCGTTAGAGTTTAATAAATCATGTTTCACTCCTTCAAATACATGAGAATCGCAGAATAAAAATGTCCCAATTTGAGGTTACCTGCATTTTGTTCCCATTCAGTATTGGACTGTGTAGCGAAACTGATTCAGAGTAGCATACAACCTTCCAAATTCCTCCTTTTCATTTCTGGATTTGGCTCATCACCACCCCACGAGTACTGCACTGGAGCTAAATAATTCGGATTACTATTTGCCGTGTAGTACCTATGCCCGCTTTTATTTAGAGCGTCGAAAAAGTCAGTTCACTTTTTTTCCCGCAATTGTCGTTCTTCGTGGTCCTAGTGAATTTCGAGCATTGCGTATCAGAGTGTCACCTACGATTATCAATTCCTTTTATACCCAGCGAAGTGTCTGATATTGGATAGAATTTTGTAGTTTCCAACTGCGCTGAAATATGTTTATTTGAGTAGCAGTGTGCCTGATCTGTCAGGTGAGTTGATGTTAATAACATCTTTATAGCAATCAAGTACTGGACTCCGCTAAGTTCCTATCTTTCTTTCATTTAATTGTGAATCAGTGACGCGGCAAAATTTTAAGTATTATCTGTCAGTTTGCAGATACTTAGCAAGTTTGGGAAAAATAAAACTGGTTTGTCTGACTCGGCTCGTTTCTTTGCCGCCAATATATACAGTGTGAACCCTGACCCAATGACCCCTGAGTGAATATGATGTTGAAGTTCACAGAGTAAGTAGTTGAGATGTATATATTGTAGTCGATTCATATTTTTCTCTCAAATGAACACAAGTAAGGTGTTTATGACAGAGAAAAAGTCCTCAAAGCTGGATGTCAGGGTAAAACCGCAAAACATATAATTCGTAGGTCACTACACGGATATAATGTGTGCGATAGAGACCAATCAGCATAGTACCATTAATCATTAATATTTTGCAATTATTGGTTTTGATGAAGATACTTATGTTCTCAAATGAATCATCTGCAAAAGGATGATTCATTTCACATTATGAAAATCATTAGAATAAGTCATAAGATTTTTGAGTTTTCTTGAAATATTTTCTTCTGAATATAATTGATGAGATCCAATTGGAAACTTTCAGAAGAAAATACTGTTTTATTTATATCAACTGAACAGGAAGCAATGTTTGGAGAATGCAAACAGATTTTCTGATTTTGATATCATTCCACTTCGCCATATTGTTTGAATTAGAATTCATCTCATTGTATTTTCAGTCTTAAACACAGCTTTCACTTGAAACTTATTATCAATAACTTTCATCTTCTCGGAAGTTCACGTTTTATTTCTTCAATAACTACATATAGATTAACTACTAAGGCAAATTTTCATGAGGAACGAGAATAAAAAATATACAAATACGCTCAAAGTTTGAAATACTATAGGTGAAGTTACACTAGCTTCAATGATTGATTGATTGTGAATTGTAGATTTTTTTAAGTTCGGTAAAAATTGTATTATTATCATCTTCAAATTCATAAACGATTCTTATAAGTTATTGGTGGCAACATTGTGACTAAGTACTAGTTGTAATAAAACTGTAGACTTAGTAAGTAGTATAAAGTTTTGATAATTGAAATTTTCAGTCTGAGATTAGTAAGTATAACGAAATCTGTGCACGTTTGCTGTGGTATTGCACATTTGTATTTGTCGATATTTATGGCATGTTTATTTTTTTCCAATCACTTGTGTTCATAATGGTTGATGAATAGGTTAGTTATGAAATGGTTGATTTGTATATATTTTTGATCATTTCATTCTAGGTATTCAAATAATCCACTACCAAAATGAAGCGGAAATGATATAATAATTGTAACAATACTAATTCCATCATTTTTCGTTATTTCTTTGTCTAAAGTAAATCGACAAAACCTAAATTGTCTTGTGCAGAGAAGACAGTTTTCCGTACTTTTCATGTGCTTACGATGTCAATCAGTCTTGAGTTTGATGAACATTATTTTCCATGTTGTACTAGTCTGTCTTCTATTGAAGTAGGAAAAGCATTTTACCTTCACCAATATTTCAGGTACGGCATCATATCATTCGTAGGAAGAGCAAATCTTGGAACAACTTGGAGAAAAGAACGATTGGAGATGAGAGGTTCAATTTTTTTTTATTGTATAATATTGATATCAAATGATCTGTAGAGCTTGATTATTAGGAGTGTTTTTGTGATAATATTTAAAAAATAAAGAGGAGTTTTAGTCGTGGTTAAACTTATCTCCGTCCCATTAAAAAAAACATTCAGAGACTAATCCAGTTGATGTTTTTCAGATGTTACGCAAAATTTCGACTATGTATTCTGGTTTGGAGATCTAAATTTTAGACTTTCCACCCCAAGGGCAAAAGTGCTCGAATGGCTCTCTAAAACAAGTTTTCCGCTGCCGTCCCATTTACCTCACGGATACATGCATCACGACCAATTGTGCTCGGTTTTGGCCGATGGAGCTGCTTTCAGAGGCTTCTATGAAGCGAAAATCAACTTTCCCCCTACATACAAGGCAAGTAAAATATTAGCAGTGAACTATTTATTCTCGTTATGAGATTTTCCCAATTATCGGGTACATAGGTACTACATGGTGTCAGATGTAGGATAAAAATATTAGAATGGAGAAAACGAAAATCCCACATCAATGGGACTTCTCAGTATCTTGAATTTGCCCTATACGGGCCATATATTATGAAAGGAAGTCAAAAATGTTACTATGACCACGTATTTATCGTGAGTTTCTAGTTGGGAAAATGACATTCATTCTATTGAAAAAGTTATCAACGTTTCTTACTAAATTTCCAACGCCCAGATCCCATAATACAAAAATGAAATAAGTTTAGAAACACAACAGTATAAATCTTTTTTTTGTATACGGTCTGGTATTGGGTGTGAAACGTTTATTATAAACAAAAAATTTGTAGGATCTAAAAATCCATTGAATAAACTGTTATTGAGGCGAATAATATTCGATTTTTGTTGTAGTACGATCCCGGAACTCAAAATTTCGATTCTTCTTCCAAACAAAGGACGCCAGCATACACCGACCGAATCTTGTACAAACAAAGAAACGCTCGAAGGCTTAGCGGCCATTTGGAAAATCCCCCCTTACAATGTTTGGTGTACGATTCCGCACCTTCGATAACGACATCGGATCACAAACCGGTTTGGGGGGTGTTCAAAGCACATTTGAGACCGGGACTGGATACGTGAGTACTTACCTACATAATGAGAAAGTTATCAGTCAGGTGAATACCAACGCAACCAAGTTTGATTTTATTACAGCATCTTACACAAACGCTTTCAATTTCGACAAATTTCTGTATAGATTGAAGTCCCATCTCATTGTCTTAGTAAAAACATACAAATATTATTAATCATCGTTCTTCTTATATGTGGTAAGACTGATTTCTAGGTGCATTTAGAAAGATATAGGTAGGTATCTATAGATTTGATAATGAGAGAAATTATTTTGAATTCAATCGAAAGTTGAGTTTTCAATGTGAGTTCCGGCTCGAAGGACCAAAAAATATGTGCGATAATCGAAAAATTTACGAGAACGCTCTAACTCACCTTATAAGCTGGTTCTTCTCATAAGGTTGTCTTGGTTCAATACCACGTTCCTCGTCCGTACCTTCTTCGACGCAGGCACACACAACAGGAGAAGAGTTCAATATGTAATTTGATGCAATCACACACAATAGGAGTAGAGTTCAATATGTAATTTGATGCTATCACACACAATAGGAGTAGAGTTCAATATCACTATTAACTTTAGCGATATCGTTGATATCGGTTTCTGTGGCCGGTACCGGTGATGAGAGAGAGTCGATTCTGTCTCACCTACGCGGCTATATCCCTCTCTTCTTTCGTCAGCTCTGAACGCATGAGTGGTTAGACGGTTAGAGAATTCGATATACCGCGAAATATTTGAATTTGAATGTGAATAAAGGAGTGAATAATTATTAATATTAGCTTAAAATAAACTGAACTAAGTATTGGAGTTGGAGAGAAAAAAACGGTTCTTAAACAGATATATTCAAAAATGAAATAAATGCGCTTTCATGTTGGAGATCTCACATATAATGTTATATGATTTTTCAGAATATAGTGAAAAATAATATTATAGTTGGCGACAGTCAAATTTTTCTTGTACCAGTTTTAAAATTTGAACACAAAACAGTTTTTTTTCGTTGAATATAATCGTTCTTTAAGGTTTTATATGAACCTTAATTAACATCACTCCTCATTTTGATAGGAGCAATGACCTATGACAGATAAAAACTGAAACACCAAGATATTAATTTTTTATCGAATATTCCTGATATCTGTTGTTACCTTTCAATAACCATTCATGAATGGTTCTGCACTTGCAGTTGCTTTACGGTATATGAATAAACAATCACATATAAAAATCGTTTCAAAACAGTCAAAAAGAAGAATCAAAATCACTTCAGAACTTGAATATTTGCAACCTCACAATTTAAACATCCTTCACTAACACACTACACTGTTCTACCACTAACCAAACCTATTTTATTGAGAAAAATCAAACTGATTTGGTTAGTAGTAAAACAGTGCAGTGTGATTATCGTGCTAAAGGTTCCAGTCTTCGATGTATCCTCGACTAAAATAATAAAAATTAAAAATGTCATCCAAATGAATAACATTTTTTCCCTATACCAATGTAGGATACCCCTAGCTGCTGGATTATTCAACAGAGAAGTATATTTGGAGGGTTTGAAGAGGAGAGCAGCAACGATGAATAAGGCGAAAGGAGATACAGCAAATTGTGTCCTACAATAAATCAAAACTGAAAATCTAGTCATACCGAAACCAAAACTGAAATCTAGTCATATATTTTTATTTGTTGTTGAAACTTCCTATGTACTCTTGAAAATAAATGTATTCTTTGATAAACCAAGATTTTCATTTCAACGAGTTACAATTTTCGAAAAGTTTATTTTAGAACTTACCACACAAGACTAGAGGCAACAGATATTCATAACAAATCATAGAAATAATCCAAACCTTGGCCCAGCTCCCAAATTGATATGCCAGTGTTCAGTTCCTTGGCCAAGTTTAATCTCTTCTGGATAGAATGTAGAGTGGGATAAAACACCAAGTGCTTTTTACCGTTACTATCCCTATAATAAAAAATCAATATATACGTATTTTTTCTTTTTTTCGTAAGATCAAATTTCACTTCAGAAAAAAATTAATAAATGAGGGACTTGACTCCTCAACCATTCCTATGACGTACTTTCTGAAAATCCACATTCACACAGAGTTAAAATACGATTCCATGTGCCAGTACGACATCATCAATATGTCTAGATTTCCATAAATTGTTCTTTGAATGCATAATAACTATATCATAACAGCAATGGGATATAATAGGTTCTTCAATCCTACTTTGTCAAGTATTATGAATTATTTCCATAAATCTCTCATTGGCTGAATGAAGTTGATTACTAATAAAGATAAATTATGATATTTAGCTACAGTATCTATACGTTTTCACTATCGTTATATTACACTATGTTATTTATAACTTGTCAGTCATTTTTTTGCTAATGAATTCGTTCCTCAATAAAACGGATCAATTTTCTAGAAAAGTTGCAGATTACATCTTGCAACAGCGCCTAATACTTCGAGTCCGTCCACACCACTCAAAATACTGACAGGCACAACAAGAGGAAGTAGCCATGGGTGTCGGCTTCATTCTGTTCTGACTGATGACAGTAAATTAGGAAGGATAGTATCATTGAATGTAGCCGATAGTGATTCATTGATTCAATGATATTTTCGTTTAGGATCGAGCTCTATTCGCGATATTTCTATGCATAAATAACAAAATCATAATCTGTCAGAATGAAGCCAACTACCCTCTGTATTCCTGCTCCGAGTGGTTATGTATGTTTTTGTTTACCAGTTTTACTTCTTCTATTTTTTTCATTCGTTTTTCATTCGTTAGCTATTCGCTAGCTATATTTTTCACCATCAGCTATTTTCAGACTAGATTCAGAATGTACGTCACAGTTTGCCGCCCCGAAAATTAGAAATTGCTTCAATTTGAAAATGAAAACGACTTGGACTATATCGGTCGCCGTTCTGTACAGCGTGAAAATTCATCTGAAGGAAACTTCCCCATTCAATGTTCTGCGTGGTATTAGTCAGGAAAGTAGTTGTTTTTCTCCCGAAATCTACCATTGTTGTTCATTTCATGAACATTGTGTGGGAATGACTGAGCTTTTTGTATCTACACTCAGTTCCAAAAAAAGTGACGCACTTGATATTTGACCTATCTTCTTGAAAAAAAAAAAACAAAAAATAGTAGGACGATTTTTATTTTTTTATTTGTTGGTAGGTAATGCATTTGTCTTTGAAAAAAAATGAGGAGGTGGAAATTTTTTCAAAGCCTCCTTGATGGTGGTGGAATAACTCGAACCATGATTTATTCTTAATTTTTGACTCACCCTGTGTGTTAATTGAGTAATGGCAAAGAAACCCTATACGAAAGAGGCTTCTTTTGAGAGCATTTTGTTTTTTTATTCATTGATTTATCTCTAAAATTTTCCGAATTACAGCTTCTCTTGCTGAATCTTTGCAGATTACCAACTTTCTGAATTTATCGAGAAACAATTTTCTAATGAAATAAACTGATACCAATAATTTTAAAACATTTTTATTAAACACAAAATTATAAATTGGGATGACTGCTTAATACCGTGTATTGCCTCCTCTAGCAACTCTAAGAACTTCTAATCTACGAGGCATACTGGAAATTGAGTTGCTTATCGTTTCCATTGGTATACGATCCCATTCTTCCACTAATGCATCTGCCATTTCTGCGAGACATTCCGGAGACCTCTCGCGAGAACGTACCCTTCTCCCTAATTCATCCCACAAATGTTCTATAGGATTCATATTGAGGCTTCTGGCAGGCCATTGTAATGTGGTAATACCAGTAGCTTCTAAGAAGTTTCACACTATTGCTGCGGTGAGTGATCGGGCATATTATCCTCCATCCATATGAAATTATTGCCCACTAACTCTGCATAAGGTAAGACATACTGCTCTAAAAAGTCGATGTAAATTTGGGCATTCATCGACTGCCTCACCGGAAAAACATGAAGGGTTGTCTTTCCATTCATTGAAATCCCTCCCCACACCATAACGGACCCACCATTAAAACTTTCGCATTCTGTTATTACATTTTGATTAAACCGTTCACCAGTTCTTCTCCACACTCTTTTTCTTCCATTCACCATGTTAAGGTAAAACCTTGACTCATCCGTAAACAAGACATTCGACCATTCAGGACTATTCCACTGTCCATAATTTTCAACGAAATTTCTTCTAGCAGCACGATGTTCGGGCAATAATTTGGGACCTTTCGCAGGTCTCCTAGCTTTTAAATTAACTTCTTTTAGACGTCTACATACCGTCTGCTTACTTACTGCAACATCACGAATTTGGCGAAGATCTTGCTGAACATTTACCGCAGTATTTGATCGATTCCGTAAAATCCGCAATCTCAAGAAGCGATCATCTCTTGGAGAAGTTTTTCGGGGGCGACCAAAACCGACCCTCCGAGCGGTGCTTCCTGTTTGTTCGTACTTGCGGATTGCTCTACGAGCAGTTGCTTCATGAACTCCCACTGCACGAGCGGCGTAACGTTTACTACGCCCATCGTTTACTAACGCAACTAATCTTGCTACTTGTTCAGGATTTATTTGAGGCATTTTATGTGATTTTAGTCAATAAAACAAGACACTTAATTAATGACACAACGACAAATGGTCAAATATGGAGGCATACAACAAATTAGTTGCTACGGCAACGGCATTTGTTTTTTTAAAGACAATGTGATCCTACCAGAGTACAACCCAATCAATTTTGAGTACTTTGATCCTTCAATAAATTTAATTTGTGGGATAAGCGTAAGGTATCAACAAAAAAGCTGTAATTCGGAAAATTTTAGAGATAAATCAATGAATAACAAAACAAAATGCTCGCAAAAGAAGCCTCTTTCCTATAGGGTGTAAGCACTTTGTATAACATTACTCAATTAACACATGAGTCAAAAATTAAGAATAAATCATGGTTCGAGTTATTCCACCACCATCAAGGAGGCTTTGAAAAAATGTTCACCCCTTAATTTTTTTTTAAAGACAAATGTATTACCTACCAAAAAATAAAAAAAATTAAAATCGGCCTACTATTTTTTTTTTTTTAAGAAGAAAGGTCAAATATCAAGTGCGTCCCTTTTTTTGGAACTGAGTGTATTTAATATTTCATTCCACTTTGAGCATCATGGCTATTTCGTAGTTGAGACTGAAAAATGTTAGCCCATCACTGACCCATGGCAACTTACTTGTACTCAAAGAAATGTTCTGCAACTTGCGGGTCGTATTGCAGTTTCCCGTTGAAAATATTCAGCCTGTCGATGTATTCGTGAGCCACTATCGGACCACCGCCGTTCATAGTGTAATCGTTACCGTAAAAGTTGAGGCCAGTCAGAATCTTCTTGCGTTTGCTCTCGTCCGCTGTTAAAGACGCGATGCAGTCAGAAACCCACGGCAAAGGGGCGTTCGGGCCTGAAATTCGAAGTGATTTCAGCGGCCAGCAGTTGGTGGAATGACGAGTGGAAATTAGGAAGGGTAAAAGTTCAGTTATCATGCGATGTTTTTTTTTCTCGAAAATATGTTTTGATATTCACGTATGTTCACTTGTAATACCACTAGAGGTCAAATTATTTCGACTTCGACTCGCAATGATTTTCAAAATATCCACAAACTCGAAAAAATTTCCGGAAAGTAATTTGACCTCGTGTGGCATTCGGTAAGAAAATTTCACACCAGATTGTGTTTGGAAATTAAATAATTTTAGAATTTATTTGTTCATTTGATTTGCATACAGGTTCATGAATATATTTAGTTTGGGTCGCAGTTTCGGCACCAATAATAGGTTCCTGATTTCTACCTATTATATTTGCATGAAAATTCCACACCAGTGATTGTTTTACAGTTAAATTGGGTTTTTATGACAAATTACCATAGTAACGTATGTATTTTAGTGGACATTGTTTTCTCGTGTATGAAATAGGAAATTTTTTTATGGCGTTTTTATGACAGAATACCACACGAGGTCAAATTACTTAGGGGTAGGCGCGGGTGTATATGGACCCGGATGTAGGCTATTTGAAGCCTTAGGTCACTCCCCCACTATCTTCCAAGCTGAAATACATGCCATCAACCTTTGCGCCCAAAGGTGCCTGAGCAAAGGTCTGAGGGGTGCCAACATATATATCTGCTCAGACAGCCAAGCCGCACTAAAAGCCCTAAAATCATTCGTTTTCACATCAAAGATTACATGGGACTGCTTTGAAACACTCATGCAACTGGGAAAGGGCAACAAAGTCACACTTATGTGGGTTCCAGGGCATGAAGGAATCAAAGGAAATGAGGCAGCTGATCGCCTTGCAAAAAAAGGTGCAGCATCTGCACTTTTTGGTCCTGAGCCTTTTTGTGGGTAAGCAAATGTCACCTAAAGGGAGAACTCGGGAAATGGGAAGAAATTGAAAAGTCCTCCTACTGGAGAGCAACTCCAGGTCAACGATAAGCGAAAAGGTTCATCAATCATTCGCAGAACCGAGCCAAAGAGCTACTCAGCCTCAGCAAACCAGAGCTAAAGCTTATCACAGGCTTTTTCACAGGACACGGCCCTCTGAGGTACCACCTCAAAACGATGGGTCTGGCGGAGACTGACACTTGCCGCTTTTGTAACAATGCGACCGAAACCGCGGAACACATACTTTGCTCATGTGAAGTATTAGTCCGCCAAAGGCTGAACCACCTAGAACAGGTCTATCTCACCCCTGCTGAAGTGGAAAAGTCAACCGTCAGGAAAATCGTAGGCTTCATCAGAAGTCTAGGGTTAGAGGGCCAAAACTAGATAGGGGTAATCACAATAGATCTTCTAGGTCGCAGTGATCGAGAGGTCTCCCAGCCTATACGACCCATCTACAATCTATTTTCAAGGAATTTTTTCTCGCTCATGAATATTTCGAAAATTATGTCTTGTCTTCGACTCGGAATAATTTTCAAAATATCCATGAGCTCAAAAAAAATTCCGGAAACAATTTGACCTCCAGTGGTATTACAAGTGAAAACACTATAATTGTTGAAGACCCGGTATATTGGACTTAGGGCCTTTTTAATCGCGCACATACCACCATCGATATATACTCTTATGAAGTCAAAATTAATTTGGGCGCTCATAACCTTTCACAGGACATAAAGCATAGCACATAAAACGTTTCTATGTAAAAAACTGAACTTAGGCCCATTATCATTTCCACTCTTCAAACGGAAATTATTTACCTGGCATTCTCGGATCGGAGAAATCGTAAGTCATTAATGAGAAAGCCGTCACGTAGTCGTATAAAGCATCGAAATGTTCGTCTGTGAACAACTCTTCTTTTCCACGCTTTGGAGGTATCACCAGAATTGTATCCAAGCTTTCTTCGCCCAGGCTGTCGGCTTGAATGGATTGTCAGAATGAAAAGAGGTAGTTTACAATATCCAATATCATAGATGAAAAACCCAAAGTCATCTCCACAACTCAAAGTTGTGGAGATGACTTTGGGTTTTTCATCTATGAACTACACCACTCCACTTTGAGTTATCATGGACTTCTTCCAAAGATTAATATCCAATATGTCTAATGTTTTCTTTTTCAACTTTTGATGCTATTCGCGATAGAAAATAACACGTCGCCCCACCTGACGGCATCAACTTGAACACTTCTGAGCGGTTTGTTTTGATGATATGACCAATTAACACAAACAACAAGTAAATAGGAACTAATGAAAACAAAGTAAACATGCCCCTTTGACAGCTTTCTAGAACTCCGATAGGTGGCGTATGCTTATTTTCTATCGCGAATAGGTTCTTAGGAATAGTTCCCTGAGCAAAGCATTCCAAAAATTTGCTGTTTTATCAACAAATGAGTTTTGTGAGTTTTGTTGACAAATCTTTGATGACACAAACGTGTAGTTTCCTACAACTGTCTCATATTTTTAGAATGATTGGAAAATATCGGAAAAACGTCAGATCTGTTTAAAAAAATACTCCAACAAACCAGACTAGTACTAAAATTACTATAGATGGTCTGGAGCAGAAAGCTTGCTCATTTTGCTTTGATGCTGGTTTCAGATGGACTTCAGAATTCCAATTTCGGGATGTGTTTCCTGATGTGGGTATATAAAAAAATGTTCCTGTAAATATTTGTCGAAAATTGTTTTTTAAAATAGGGCCACCTGAAACGATTTTTCCTCACTATTTTCAAAATCGTTCATCCAAAAATCATGAAATTTGGTACATCTGATGTTGAATCAAAATTTAAACTCAAAATTTAAAAAAATTCTGGAGTGGTTATTATGACAATCCCATTTTTTCAAAATAATCACAATTTTTTGCATCTATGCATCGGCACCCTAAAGACGGGTTTTCCTGATTATTTTAGAAACCGCTTACACTGAATTATTGAAATTTGGTAAACTGCATGAACTTTCAACGCCAGATGAGATTGTGAGCTCAAAATTTCAGAAATTCTGTCAGAGACATATCATACCGAAGTTATTGCGGGTCAATAATACAAGCAAATTTTCCAATGACGATTCAGTTTGCATTTTGCTTTTTGATTTTACATCCTTGAACATTTTTGACGTAAATTTACTCTTACTCTCAGTTTAAATAGGACTAATTATTTCCGAGAAAATTGCAATCATCACACAGATATCCATTATCTACCTCCTTATACAAGCCATCAAAAACTGGGGTCCTAACCTAACCCCTTCAGTATGATAAACTTGTGATGAGAATTTTGAAAATTTCAGCTCATGATTCAATTTGGCGTAAAAAGTATGCAGTGTATACCAAATTTCCAATTTTCAGTTATGACCGGTTTGTAGAATATTGAGAAAAATCTGATTTAAGGTGCCAATCGAGGTGCCAATTCGTCAATGTAGAAAATTGCGATTTTTTTCAAAACTTGCCCTATCGATTTGAATTTGGAGTACCTCTTTCACGTAAAAAATAACTTCAGGTGTCATATCCTGAGATGAGAATGTGGAAAAAAATACCATATAAAATTGAATTGTTTTCATCCTTGACCCATCCAGTAACGTCGCTGAATAAGATTTTCAAATTCTGAGCTCTAATTCTGTTCAGTATATCATACGATGTACAGGGTGATTGACTATGGATTTCTCGACTTCAACAGCTGATATCTCAAAAACGAAAAAAGATATTTGAAATTTGGAAAAAGTTACTTGAATGAGATGTAATTTCCTTCTGGAAAATGTGTTCTCTGCTTGATTTTATCATTTCAAATACAGGGTTCGTGAAAAAAAATTTTTTTTTTCAAATGGAACCCCCTGTATATTATCGCATATTTCGAAAGAGCTATCTTTCCTGATTTCGAAGATATATACTTTTTATATATTCTATCGAGGGCTTGACGAAATATCAGCAAAATTAAATATTAATATATGGTCCAAGTTAGCTATGGTTGAAATAGAATGAGATGATGAATAAGTGAATTGACATCTGGCCAACATTTCAGTGACATAAGTGCGCAAAATTTCGACAATTTTCTCACGATGCCATATCCACTGGAACAAAGAAGAGATATTTTGGAGTGCTATTTTTCAGTTAATGAAAATCTTGCTGAAACACTTACACTTATACTTACTTATATTTAATCTTTCAGATATGACAAGACAAAATTCAATCCGCTTCTCATTATCATCATAATTGAGTTTGTGGCATGGTCTAATTCTGAAATCCCTATATTTATATTTCCTTAAGGTATGTTCAACAAAATAATAGCTGAAACCAAACTCTCTCACTGCATTTCTTCTTGACCGTGAAGGATCCTCAACAAAATACTGGATTACAAGAAGTTCCTCGTCTTCGTTGTCTTGCCTTCTCACTATTCTCTTGATATTCGACAAACTGGTTCTGTCAAATTTAGCAGCCAAATACTATACATAATTCTTTTTTGGTAATCTCCTGCCTGGATAACCCCTTATAAACTTATGAAGTGTTTCAGCAAGATTTTTATTAACTGAAAAATAGCACTCCAAAATATCTCTTCTTTGTTCCAGTGGATATGGCATCGTGGAAAAATTTTCGAAATTTTGCGCACTTATGTCACTGAAATGTTGACCAAATGTCAATTCACTTATTCATCATCTCATTCTATTTCAACCATAGCTAACTTGGACCAAATATTAATATTTAATTTTGCTGATATTTCGTCAAGCACTCAATAGAATATATGAAAAGTATATATTTTCAAAATCAGGAAAGATAGCTCTTTCGAAATATGCGATAATATACAGGGGGTTCCATTTGAAAAAAATTTTTTTTTTCACGAACCCTGTATATGAAATGATAAAATCAAGCAGCTAACACATTTTCCAGAAGGAAATGACATCTCATTCAAGTAACTTTTTCCAAATTTCGAATATCTTTTTTCGTTTTCGAGATATCAGCTGTTGAAGTCGAGAAATCCATAGTCAATCACCCTGTACATAATTTTGGAGTTTTTCAATGAACGGTTTCGGAAACATTGAAGAAAAACCGTCTCCAGAGTGTACCTACTATTTGAAGAGACTCTCTTAGTAAGAATTTTTCCACAAAAGTTTATAGGGACTTTCTTCCATAAAAATATGTGGAAAAAAATCTAACAAATTCAAACATAATTATGGGCAATACAATTGATTAATTCCATTCTTGTATTAGTATGGCCACTATCCATTTGTTTGGTGAATTGAGCAGAAAGTCCACAAAAAAAACCTGGTTCCAGGGGGGGGGGGTGGTCATGACCCCCATGACCCCCCCCCCTGGATCCACCCTTGATTTTAGAAAATTTCAAATTGGATGTCTACAAAAATAACTAGCTGGGCTCTAGACAGCATTCTATGAACCATAAAAAAAGGAATCAGTAATTAAAAAATTAAGGACAAGTCTCAAATCTCATAATTTTTAGTCATAATATAGTGGTAGGTATTCTTATTTTCAAATGTTTTTCATCAATTAGTTTAGTTCTTCATTTCTAATTAAATATGTTGAAGTTGTGATGTGTTGCTTGATATACACAGTGAATTGTTTATATTATAATATGGGATTGTGAGATATTCTGTGATTGATTGTTAATCTTTCATATAAGATCTATAATCACTGTTTCCCATCGTCCAAATAACATCCCTTGGTTAGGAATGAATTTTGAGAAATAAGAGAATTATTGTTGAAATATATATACATATATTCTCTATAACATTTCACAATCTAGAATCAATTGGAATTGAATTGATGAAAATATGTTCAATAGACATATTTGATGCACCATAAAACAATCAAATCTTGTATGAAATACCATATTTTGGATTACAAAGTATACCCAAAATGTCTGAATATTATTCTTGTATTTTCAATTGATGTCATTAGTAGATCTGAGAAACCCAAAAATGTCTGAATATTATTCTTGTATTTTTAATTGATGTCATTAGTAGATCTGTGAAATAGGAATGATTAGGTATATTATATTAGATTCTTTCTAGATATTTCTATTTGTGTGCATAGATTTAGTCTTCAAAGCTCCTTTTCTCAATGTTCAGCTTAAACTCACCTATTTCTCTTACCAAGTTGACCAATGGATCAAATTGTACAGCACCAGCAACTTGAGACCAGAGTTCTAACACATAACCATCAAACTTGTATTTGTTGGCAGTCTCAATAAGTGCATCGGTAAGAGCCCTAATTTCATTTTTGCTTGACAAAAGCATTGCATAGTCCTGATGTGTCCACTGATCAAATATCATTCTAGGAACCACTAAAAAATTGAGTGAATGTTGAAAGGTAAATAGGAAATAATGATCCTGTACTTACTCTTGAGTTTTCTTTCTCTGCCAGCATTTCGTACTGCAACCATCCACCCTTCATCAATATCATGTACACCATTTATATCATATTTCTCTGCACCTTTTCGCTTAATTTGCAGCCATACAGGGCTGATGTGAGTGAATTTATTACCAAATATTTTTGCTACATCATATCCATGATTGTTCCACTAGAATAAAATTGATATGAAGATATTATTCCACTTGTCACAATCAATATCACAGTACCTACTGGAGTCACATATCCCAAAGCAAGTCCGGGGAAACTATATTCATCAACTTCTTTGAAAAAACCATTGTAATTAGTGATTATTTCTTTTGCTGTAGGGTACTCACTCAAAAGGTTTTTATTAAAAACGGTATAATTTTGAGGGCCCAACTTTACTTTTTCAATTTTTGTTTTGGTCTCTTTTATGTTTTTCGGAGACTTGGGAGTCAATGTAGCAACAATTTCATTGGAATTGTACATAAATATGTTGAAGAACAACAAAACGACTAGGAAATTCATCTTCATAAATTGAGGTTAGGTTAGATGTTTTTGTTTTGATAAGACATGACACGTGATGTAGTGATGACAGCGATCTGACAGCCACATCACGAAACCTTTTTATGGACCATGATCACTTCTTTTGGAACTTGTGGAGCTACCGGCACGCGAGAATTGACCAGCCCCGGGGTTCATCGCGGGAAAGAGAAGGACGTATAACTCGCTCTCGCTCAGATGAACCTTTTTTCTTGAAGAAGGAGAATTTTTCTTGAGGAAGGAAAATATTGTTTCTGCATAAAAAATGAGAAAACCTAACCTATCTATTTTATGAGTATATCTGTACTTGTTTCGTTGACCTGTGTAAAACTTAATGTTTATTAACACCAAATAAAATATTCTATTCTATTCTAACCTAACCTAACCTAACCGAACCTCACCTCTGGCCTAAACCACAAACATAGAAAACCCCTAAATGAACCTATTTCCCATAGAGAATATTTTTTAGAAATCACTTGAGAACAAGGAAAAAATAAAAAAAAATGAGCCTCGCACGGATTCGAACCCCGGCCCGCCGGCTTGGCATGCCGATGCTCTGCCTACTGAGCCAACCAGTTGCTTACGAGACGAAGTATGATGAAGTACTGTGCTTCGGCTATGTGCCAAATGCATTCTCGCGAGTGAGAGGGCATTATATGTCCTTCTCTCTCCCGCGATAAACCCCGGGGCTTGTCAATTCTCGCTACCGGCACCGGCCATTTCTTTATTTGAAGGATTTTTTCCTTCTTTCAAGTTTTCTAAAATTGAATGAACGTGTAACGTCTCACTCGATGGGGAAACTAAGTACATATATGGGCAACTAGAACCGTTTTTCGCTTATATACAAGATGTTAATTAATTGATTATCGATAATACAAGGTGTGAATCCTTGGGTGAATTTAAGGATGAAAGTTCATATCAAAATATGTCTTGCCAGTGATGTTCACAATGTTTTGATGAAAAAAGAAACTGCTATAACTATATACTATAACTATACTGGGAGCACAACACAAAACTATATTTTTAAACGAAAGGAATATCAGAACAATGAGAATTGAAAAACAATGATATTTTAGAAAAAAAATACAAAACAAGTCACGATGGCATGATAGCTTCAGACACTGACGACCAATGACAACTTACATAACCACAAATTTCAAAATTTTTCTAGAAAAAAGTGACGATCATTTCGTACGATACGGTAATATCCTCTAGTGGTCCTACACTCAACTGAGCTATAGGGAAGACCAGTAGTTCCAGCTCACTAGATGTTTTCTCCATATTTAGCAGACAATGCTCAAAATGTATAGGGAGTTTCCACGAAAAATAAACTCACTTCAAAACACCTGCTATATAATTTCATATATATTATGATTTTGTTACATTTTCACAATTTCAAACATAAAAACTGAGAATTCAGTGTTCTTAATAAAATGACAATGTTTTGTAACAATCTCACAAAAAATATTCAATGGATAATCAACACCAACAGAGTTCCAGACCTTGAGGTCTTATTGCCACCACTTATGTAGAAAACTTGGATTGGTGCTGAATACCATTTCCAAGTTTGCACAGATTTTTGTACACAAAAATCAACCATATGGCTAAATTTGATTTAAAATTGTAATATACTGTTCATCAGTTTATTCAGAAACAAGTTTTTTGTAATGAAATATCTCACTCACTGAAAGTTTTGTGGCTTTGCCTGCAGAACACGTACACTCCGCAAATTCCTGTATATCCTTTACATTAAAAGGAGCAAATCCCCAATCCCCCAATTACAATTCAATAAAATTCATTTAATGAAGATCAACTTTTATCCAATGAAAGTAGATGTAGTTTTTATATTAACCAGGCTGGTTACTATTGTTTTCCTTTCCTAAAGTGCAATTTTATGATGAACCAACAATACAAAAACCACTACTTGTTGATTGATATAATTATGCTTAGTGTAAGCGTAATATATCAATCAACGCCACTACTGCTGTTTAAGTAGGTAGGTATATTATATTTAACACACGATATCAAAAAGATGGCTGAGAAGAATGGAGAAGAATTCACTACATTGTGAATCACTCAAGATGAAAATATTTGATCCTTATAATGGCCAAATGGCCATTCAAGGCCCATGTTTGATGAAGGGTATCACTAAAAAGTTGGTTTAATTCAGTAGTCAAACTTGATGAAATAAATAAAGAATTTTGCCAATTAGCTGTTAGTTGCTTATTGATCCCCCTTATTAAACCATGTTCACTATATTATTGCACTTTGTAGAAGCTTATTTGATAAAAAACAATTGTGTTATCTTCTTGATTCCATCAAAATTATTTACTTGGATCCTCGGGCGATTTCATCTAGTAAAAATCAGTTAAAACCAAAGATACCACAATATATAAACACGTAGGTTCACTCAAAATAAAGCTTCTTGATCTCAGCCATTCTGTATCTTATATTTTAAGCTGATTATCTCGGAAGAAATCAACCCTTCTTGATGTCAGCTATGCTGTATCTTATGGTTTAAGCTGATTATCTCCAAAGAAATCAGTTTAAATCATAAGATTTAGACGTGAAAAAAATCACGTGAGAACTCGTCGATAACCTATTCACAAGTTGTAAATCGTTCAATATAGAGAAACCAAGTTGTTTTATCTCTTCTAAGAAAGGAGAAGTCACGTGAAGTTCGCGTGAAGTCTAGTAGTTTTTATATTATTATGTTCTGATTAAAACCGATTATTTCAAATCATAGAAGTTACTTTTCTTTTGATTATCAAACAGGCAAGTATTGGCATCACCTACCCACAACTGGTGATAAAAGATCACATGCGCCCCTCTAGTAACCCAACAAAACGACAATGCTAGTTCAATGATGACACTTTGACATTAGTTTCATGATCTGATACAGATAAATCAACATGTCATTCTTTCACAGCTGGCAAAGCCTTAATTACTTGGTGCATTACCAATCCTCGTTGGTCACGTCAAGTCACGTGACATATTGTGATCAAGAATATTCAGGGTGTTCTCAATAATGGTGAGAAATTTTTTCGAGAGGATGTAGAATTCATAGAAATATCATCGATAGAAGAGATAAAAAAATGAATATTTCATACATATTATTGAACGAATTTCATAGCGGTCCTGGCTGCACAAATCTTTGTTCGGTGATTACCCGACTGTTCCCCGTACTACCGTGTACAGTAGAATTTTGTTTGTCTTAAGCTACTCGCTGGATCCTCTTTTCAATTGTTTTTTTTCTGTGCATTATCAAAGATATACGAAAATGATGAACTTATTTACATGCTTCCGATTTTTGATCAGTGTTACCAAAGTGCAGTAGCAGGACTTCGTTTGTACACGGAAATATATCCTTTGAGAAATCATCCAACACCGTGAATGTTCGTTTATTTGGTACAAATATGTCATGACACAGGGTGTTTGAATGAACAAGAGGACATGTGAGAACATCCAAAACAGTAAATATACTAGGACCATAACAGGGCCAATTCTATCAGGGTGTATTAGAACTCCATTATTTTGCAACTTTTATATGGGAATTGTTGGTGATTTTGTCGATTTTCATGAGTTCTTCATCCTGCTGAATTGTGCAGGCCAAGTCACATGAAAGTGCCAAACGTAATTCTTGTCAAAAAGGTTTCCAAACAAATGAACAAGGATACGGTAAACACATTCTGGGCTCTTAAAAAATCAGAGGGACTGTTCAGAATGACGTTTTTAACTGTCAATGACGTCATGCTTTCATGGTCAACAGCACGGCGTCAGACCACTCCGTTCATAAGCGCACGAACCCAACTATGCGCATGCGTCCGAGATATATCACGTGATTCATCTTGACCAACAAGGACTCGGAATGGACGAGTTCAGCAATTCATTGCCAACCTTGAAAATAGCTGAAACTTCTACCACTGGAAACAGGTTATTTTCATAAAATATTGATGCCATTTTTTTCCTCATCAATTTTTATATCATCTAGGAAGTCCCCGACTCTCGAATCGCGGGAAATTATCGAAACTCTGATATCACCTGATTTTGAGGTTATTTCAGTTCGTCATATGGGTTGCGTGCAAGAACTGTCAGATGACCGACCCTGGAGGCACAACATTGAAACACAACCTCACTTTTCTTATTTGTTTACAAGTGATTGAAATAGTTTTTCACAATTATTAATCGTATGTTTCGGCTATTCATCAATACAGTCACTCACATATAGTTTTCATTTCTGAAATTTGGTAATTCCTCTGATTTCTCATCGGAATTCCTTTTGCAATAGGAGCTGATAGTTATACTCGTGAAATTTCTAAAATAATGCAAGAAGAATGGATTCATGCAATCAAACGGGAGGACTGGTCTGACATGCTGACGAAATAAGATCATGTGTGTTGTAGACATTTTTAATCTATCAGCAGTATAAGCTTGTATTGCAGAAGTGGCAGAAGGTATTTCAATAAGGAATGACAACATTTCATAATGAGAACTATGTGAGATTACTATTTACCTGAAAAATCATATCCCTTCGTCTCTCGCTGCATTTTTTGTGTATTGTACAACAGTACAATGAGAAGGCATGCTTGAATTGATGAATAGCTCAAAAAACACGATTCGTATGCCAAAATATTGTGAAAAACTATCTCAATCCTTTGAATCCACTGTAAACAAATAAAAAAATGAGGTTATGTTTCAGTAATTCACAGAAGAGTGAGGTTGTGTGCCAATATTTTACCTCCAGGGTCGTTCATCGTGCATGCGACCTATTGGCTGCCTGTAAAAAGAGACACTCATTTTTGTTTCATGCATGTTTTGTGACCCTGTGACTGTTTTTAGGTTAATTGAAAACAAAACAAATGAAAGAGCATTCAAGAATTTTCATCTCGAGTTTAACTATGATTCAGACATTGAAAACAATCAAGAAGTACCTGTGTACCCGTATAAACATTATGAAGAGCCCTTATTTGAGAAGAAAGAAAGGATCATCATAAAAATAACCAAATCTGTATAATAATCTCTTCTCTCTTTTTCCAAAATGTACCTACTAGAAACCACTCAAATTCGCGTTACCCACTTGAATTCTTGAATGCTTTTTTCAAGTTTTATTTTCAATTAACCTAAAAACGATCACAGGGGGGTCTTTCATTCATCTTACAGACAGCCAATATGATAACTGAAATAATCTTAAAATCACTTGATATCGAAGTTTTTATAATTCCCAGCGATTCGGACGCCGGGGACTTTCTGGATGCTACAAAATTCAATAAGGACAAAAGGTATCAATATTTTATGAGAATAATCAGTTTTCAGTGGTAGACTTTTTTAGCTATTTTGCTACTCAGCCACTAGAGAAGCGCTCGTGACACCTTCCAAAAATCAAAAACCCGCTTAGACGTGTACGCGTCCCACCGGCCACCACTATTCAGGGTCCGAAGACATGGCAACGTCGCCGTTCGTCCCTATAACCAGCGCGTCGTCCTCATTGAAGTCGATGCTCAACACCGACGATCGCCTCACACGTTTCACGCGAGTCCGCTCCACCTCCGATGATTCCGAATCCGTCCGACCTTGCCCGACACTACCCGACTCGCCGTTCGCCCTGCCGTTGGTCACCTTCAGCGCGCCATTTTCCTTTTGTAGAAGCTGCACCGAGTCCTTCGCCTTCTTCAGCTCCTGCTGCAAGAACAGGATGGTGCTCTGCATACCCTCGACGTCCTCGTCCAAATCGGCAAGGAATGAATCTAGCTCGTTCTGGCTTTGTCTCACCTCCTCGGAGAAGCTTTTCTGGAGTGCTAGGTCGCTCTCGAGCTTCGCTATCCTGCCGGAGCTGGTAACTTTGCCGAGTTCCTCGTTTTCTTGGTAGAGCAGCCGGCATTTGGCCATGAGGCGTTTGCCGGTGTTGGAGTCGGGGGTGAACTTCCAGGCGGAGAGTTCGTTTTGGGTGTCTTCGAGTTTGAGGCGGGTGGCCTGGAGTTCGAAGCGGAGTTGTTGCAGTAGGCTGTTGACGGCCGGGTCCAGTAAGGCGGTTCGTAGGGATGAGGTGGTGGGTACTTGGGAGGTTTTCAGTTCGTTGAGTTGACACTGCGGCAGAAAAATTGGTTAGGGGTGGCTCGGTATGGTCGAATTATGTTTGTGGGAGTTGCGTGAGTTTAAAAACGGTTTTTTTTGTTGATACTTCGCCTATTCACCATTGCAGATAGGTATGAGGTTATGTAAACAATTTTTGTGTTTTTTTATACAGGATGTTTCAAAATTTAGTATCAAGATTTCAGGGTCTTAGTTTTCAGGTCAAAATAAGCCCTTTTTCGCCTATAAGTATGTGTCCGCAAACGCTTCGTCACCGATATACAAAGCGTTGAAGTTTTGAGATTTTCTTAATCTTCCAACCCATTTTCTTAAACGTCAAGGTTTATTCGGTGTTTCATTCTTGTAATCAAGGTCAGAAAATAAATATGTAGCGTTTTCGTTTTAATTGTTATAATAGGTTCCTCCTCACCATATAATATCTACTGTTTCTATATAGGGTTGAGCAAAAGTATGGAACCAGGTGAATATCTCGGTAACCGGTTGTTAGATTATTTTGAATATATGTACAGGGTGATTTCGAAAAGTGGTTGATTTGAAAATATTATCGTCGATGTTGCCACTTTTTCAATTATTCCGGAATTATTATCAACTTCCTTATTTTAAATAGAACACCCTGTATTTTATTGAATTCAAAGATTATCCCTGAAAAGCTGATTTCATCGATTCATCACACTTGGGTTCTAGCAAGAATGATTACTGAGATATAGGGTGTTCAAAATCGCGATTTTTCAACGGTAGGTTTTTTTGTGTCGAAACTATTCATTATTGGTCAAAACGGCTTACATGTCCCTTCATCATTTTTTGATTCACTATCTACCGACATTTAATTGAAACAAATACAGGGTGGTTCAAGATTCAGAAATCTGATCACCCTGTATCTGTTCCCATTGAATACCAATAGACAGTAGATCAAAAGTTAGGAATATTATCGGCATGACATTTGAAGTTTGTAACAGGAATGACACTGTACTGCAGGCATCTTCATCATTATTTTGAAGTAATCAAATATCTGTCATTCTAATTCTGTGATTTGATTTTCAAAAATTGTAAGTTTTGTAATAATTGTAAATAACTTAAGTAACCGCGAATTCGAACGGAAGCATGTTTTTTTATAGATGATCATTAGCGTTCAGCTCATTTTCGTAAAATACTCCTTTTATTGGATGTATACTTATTAAATAAATAAATAAAAGAACTTTCTCGGAGACGGTGTTATTGGCTTATTTTTCGGAACTATAGCACAACAAAAGCCATAAACAGTGTATATTTAACCGGGAAAAAAGTACTCACTTTTTTCCCGTGAGAAAAAAGTAATTTATGAAAAGTGACATTCTACCTATAACCTGTCAGCAGAGATTAAATTTCAAACTTTTCTCCGTCCCTCTGAAAAATAAGCACCGGAAATCTTGATGCAGAATTTTGGAATTTTTCTCTGCCAATGATGAATATAGACGAATTATTATTGAAAATTCCGGCGACAGAGCTGAGCAAATCCTCTAAATGGAACCCCCCCTCAATTCATTTGTTTTCAGAGATTTGATTGATTGATTTTTGCAATGTAACACCCTATATATTTTCTGACATGTGGAGTTATTGATGATTGAAGTTTACCAAAATACGGCATCTTCCATTCAAACTGTCCATTCATATTTTTTTGTATTGAGATTGAAAGATTTTAATTTAATTTTCTCAACTATTTTTTTTTCAAGTTTTTTTCATCAATTCTCAAGATTATATTCTCTATGTTTTTTTAAACTCTTGCTATAAGATTTTTAGTATTTCTTGTTGAGTAAATAAAGGAAAAAATATTAATAATAAACAATATCATATTTCCATAGTGCTTAAACAATATATAAATGTTATTTCAAAGCACGCTATGTTCACAGTATTTTGGTAAACTTTGATCATCAATATCTCAGCTATTGTCCATCCAAATATGCAACTGATATATTTTTTGAAATCAGAAATAAGGCTCTATCTACATGTCGAAAAATATATACCGTGTACCATTGAATAAATCCAAGTTCCATTCAACATTTTTATATCATTGAAAACAAGAGTTAGGGGCGGACCCAGTACTACTATCTAATATTTTCAGTTTCCAAATATTTCCAAATTGTTCAAATATTTTCAAAAGTATCTAAATACCTAGTTTTCATAACATCAATATTTTTGGAGTATTTGAATACTCTCAATTAGTATTTAAATACGGACTGTGGGACTGTTAGGTTATTTTGGAAAATATGCATAATAATTCCTTGAAAGATTAACTAGCCTGCTCACAAATCTAATCAATAGGGATAATATTGGTTAGGCATAAATAGAAATACTTGTATGAAAAAGTATCCATATTTGAATACTGAACAGTATTTACATACTAGAGATTATTCATAAATACAAATAATGCCCAGCTCTGAATGTTGGATACAGTTCTGATTGCAGATTAGGTTCAAACACCCCTTTTTTTAATCAAAATAAAAGCACATACTCATTGTTACTGTCCTCTTGGAGCATCTTCAGTAACAGAAGTAAATTATGCTTAGATACATACAAGTGTTCTTAGTTTTTTTCACTAACCAAACAAGTTTCCAATGCCCTGACACATATTTCATTTTTCCTAAGCAGTGCTAGTGGAAATTAATATCAGATTGGTGGAAAGATTCTTATAGACCATAAAAAAATCTTTCTCATCATTTGAGGTTCAAGTCAACCCTGCTTGAATTGAATACTATTTTATAACCATTTCAGTCAGGATAAATCAGAAATCCCGCAAAATGCCTTTCATTTTGAAAATAAAACAAGGAAGGAAAAGTTTTTAAGAATTAACATACCACACACACCTCAAATGCAATAAATGTTCCTTGATCCTAGTATAAATGATTCTCCTGGTTTGTCCTATGTATTTTCCAAAATCAGGCATATGCCTTGAAGATTTCCAAAAAAAAATACCTTTCATTTGGAAAATACAAGAATTTATGAATGGCAGTTCTTTAGAAACAACCAACAATGCTATAAACATGCTAAATGTTACTTGAATACTAACACCCTACTTAAAATTTGCTGAATGTTCCTGAACCTAGTTTAAATGTGTCTTCTGGTTTGCCCTACATATATTCTGCCATAATCTTCACATTCAATTTTATAAATTCCACCCATCTGGCAGCACTTTGTGGCAGTCTTATCTCATTACCAGTGTTACACTCTTTTATAATAATATGATCTATAATTAATGAAAGTAGTAATGACAATAAAGATAGTATACCAACTCAACTCATATCCCAAATAGTATTGATTGATTAATTGTTACAAGTAATGTATAGTTGCTGTGTTGGAATAATGTGTAAATTATCACCTCAGATCAAAATTTTACAGCTATTCAGCTGTCATGACCAAGTAATATAATGTAATCTTATAAATCAAGAAAACAGCAGAGAATTGAATTAAACTAAGATTTTTTCTTCTTTGACACAGTGACAAATGATTGCTTAAAACATTTTGTTTGATGTGAAATGACTACCTAAATAGCTCCTTATTATCAACCTTCCTAGATCATTTTGAGAATACAATTATTGGGGATATTATGTTGACTAAAAGTAAACAATATCAAAACACAAAGACAATTCATTGGAACCGCTTGAATAAAATAAACTTTCAACTTACCTATTACCCACACCTGTAATCTGTAATCAATGTTTTCTTATGAAAAAATTTGGAGTGTTTGAACCTTGTCATGCCTTCACAAGTTATATCACAGATATGAAATGCAGTGTTCCTAAATGTCATACACACACTTGCTCTAAAATCTAACCACAATATGTGTTTTTTTATTGATGAAGTTCAAATGTTCTTAGCTCCACTAAACCCTGATATTACAATAACCATGTATATGTTACAGTAACTGTTCATTAAATTAATATACCTGGTGATTTAATTTTCTTCTGATAAAAATGAAGTGGGTGATATATCTTCCAGAAATATTAAGGATACACTAGCTGATGCAGCCCCAAATAGGGTTTGTTGAGGAGCTACAGGGCACTATAGTTCATTCAAGATATCTTGGAAAGTACCATACCATTATTATTATGTCAGAAATTCTACAGATTTGTATCCTATCTTTCTTTTTTGACTAGCTGCTATTATACTATTACTACACAAGTGTCAGAAACTGATTGATAGGACAAATTTTTTGCAAGTATATTTTTTCTTGAATTCATATAATTTAGCATTCATAAGAATTCATTAAAGGAAAGGATATGCAGTGAAATTCGGTTATTTTATCAATGCCATTGTAAATATTGTTTGCAATACTCTGTACTTTACTTATTAAAAGGAACATAAATCAATCAAATGTGTTACCTACCTGTAAGTGTAATTTTTCATTATTTCTAAAATTTACAGTAAGTTCTAGATTCAGGGCTAATGTAGCCTACATAATATGACTTTATTTTCACATTTACTGGAACATATACAAACCATTAAACATAATATCATCTTTCAGCCATGTTTGGAATCTTGAGAACCATAACAGTTACTCACAGAGGATACATTGTGATTCTGATCTTTATATATTGTGAAAGAATTTCCCAGAATATCCAAAATGACTTCATGTTTTCCTGCTTTTTGGATTTGATTTTTTCAAGCTCATCACTACACCTACTCCACTAGTCCACCAAACTTACAAAGAAGCCACAATAAACACTGTACTAAACAAATGATGATATCCACATTTTGAAATCATTAAGGGAAATTATATTTCAGGTCCAATTTAAAAACAAAACAAATGACATTTGCATAGTGGAAAATGAATAATAAATATACCTCAATGTTACTGAAGTATTATTATTCAATAGCTGAAAATGTTAGAGGGATTCTCTAGACTTGGAATCTTCTGAAGATTCTGTTACTACTTCCAATCAAAATTATATCATTGGAATGGGAATAATGCTAACATGATTTTTTTTCAGAATATACTTTTTGAATAGTAAAATGATCATTCTTTCACTCATCTACCATAAATGTGGAAATTGATTGAAATATTTGAAATAATACTTCTTAGTCTAATATAATCAGTATGACTTTGTTAGATAATAGTAATTCAGTTTCTAGTCACAAAATATGTACAGAATTTCAATCAAGGTACCTACAGCACTTTTGAGCTTGAAAACAGTATATTAGACAGAAAATTGAAAACAAAAAATAATTGTATTTATAATATAGATCCAATGGAAAATAGTCATTTTGGATTTTTCACAATAACAAAGAAGCATCAAATGATGCAATTTGATCCCAGTTTAAAGTTTTCTTGTCACTTCTCAAGATTCAATGAAGCTTATAACCTATTATAATCAGGTTGAGCTTCAAATGAACAATATAACAGTATCTAAAGGACTGTTGTTTATTGTCAAACCAGCACATTCACTTTCAAGACACTTCCACAGGAGTTAAGAACATTTGAACAACCGGTGCCAGACCTACTAACCACATAGTCTTGAGTCTCCTGCTCCTTGGCAGTTAATCTTCGCACAAGAACCTTCTCCCTTTGCTGGGAATCTAAAAGCTGAGCCTTGGCCCTCTCATGAGTTTCTCGTAGATCAGCTAGTTCCCCTGCAATAACCACACGTTAACCACCCGCCACTATCACCACTGCCAACACATCGCACTGCACTGCACCATCAAGATACAGCTCACTAACAACCTTCAATTCCCCCAAGACACTATTATGATTTAAGAACTGAACTAAGTACCTTCTTGTTGCGTAGTTTTCCGTTCCAGGAAACTAATATAACAATCTTGTTGTCGCCAACGATTCTGCCATTCCTGTGAGGTCAAAGCTCCCAACTCTTGATCAGTCACTATCACCCTGGAGGAGACTTTGTCCGCATCCGGAGGACTGCTAGGCTGCTGATTGTCTCCGGGCTCCGACATCCTGAAAGCCACCACACCATCAGAGCAGATATCACCACACAGTATAATATAGCCGCCAATAATTACTACATGAAAAGTCGGCCATATTCAATGCCAAACGGTCTCGATAACCTGATATTTTACTTACTTTAAAGATAAATTTCAAATATAATTTATGTACTCAAATCTGTAACGTATTAACTAGCCTTCGATATTTAATCAAGATATCACTTTAGGTCCAAGTTCCTATCTCCTCAAACATTTTTATATCACCAAAACACCAACGCCATTCTCACAATTTCAGGATTCCACTTGCCACTTGACTTAGGACAACTATGACACATGACATATCAAAATGACATCCAGCCAATGAACTCAGTTCTTAGATCATACATGATCTAAGACTCAGTTCGTCTCGTTTAGGCCTGTTCGTTTGTGCTTGCTCAACCCGCTGAACTTGATTTTTTTTTATGACTCTCTTTGTTCACATCATGGCATGAACAGAGGCAACTATGGAAAAGAGATCAACTTTAACCAGTTTAGCAATACAAACGAACAGGCATTTTAATGCATCCAGTTGACGTTGACACATTGGCAACATGAGTATCTTCCTTGACCGAGTTCTGTGAGAATTGCCTAAATCTTTTGAACCATTCCCATCACGTGATATGTTGAGATTCGTGTTTTTTTTTTGCTTATTATTCGCAATAAAATTGTGGAGACTGAGTTTGATCAGAGAGTTTTGTTCTGCTCCACAAATTGGTTTTTCTACGAGCGAATGCGCATGCGTCCCTATTGTATCATGATTCACTGTGTGAGGTTTGGGAATGGTTCGAAAACTTTAGGCTCTCGTGTTCTGTGCACGCTACAGAACTTTTCCTTTTCTGCTTTACGGTGTCGTGTATTATGCACTACACTTCTAACCAACTGGAACTGGAACAGTACAGCGATATGCAAACGAATGAAGTCTATACCAGGGTGTTGCGATATTTGACTGAACGCTCCACAGGTGTTATCCCCGCCCTCGTGGTTTGACTTCACCAATCAGAATACGATAGTTTGGTTGTGAACGCCGTTTAAGGATGGACTTTTGAGATGTTCCAACTGCTTACCGAGATACGGGGGTGCTGAAACGTCCATGGTATCAAAGTTATGAAAGGAATATTGTTTTATCGAAGTAGCTCGATAACGTTTGAATCTTCTGCAATAAAATTCAGTTTATAGTTTTATTACCAAAAATATACATTTTTGATAAGAAAGTCAATTGAAAAATTTCATCCAGTGTCGCGCTACAGTGGGTTGTGATTTAAGATAACGTATTTTCAACTGAGCTGAAGTGCAGGATAAAAGTTTTCGAGATATTTACCCAGAAATAGAATTTTGCATGTATCTTATAATTATTTTGACCATTAGGGTTTCAACCTCTGAATGTTGATTCCCAATTCGTATTTCAACTAGCTCTTATCAATTATAACTCAAAAGCGACTGCTATCCGAATTGGAAGGCGACATATTTCAGATGTTATTCCACTTTCATGTACTCAAAATGCTAAAAAAAAGGGATAAACAGAGGATGAAGTCACGTGTACGTCTCTATGGAAACACGACCTCACGAGGGGACATCGGAGTATCAACCTGCAAAGAAGGTGGGGGCGTCTCTGGTGCGTTAGGTGTTTTTCATTGCAGAGAAAATTCGTACCTATCTGCCTGATTAGCCCATTTTTCTCATTGGGATAAATTGATGAACTATATAAACTATATATATAGAAGAATATATCGCATAATCGCAGATTTTCATCCTCGATTTGCATGATGATCCAGATTTTCATTACTATTATAATAAGTTGTAGATTATTCGTGTAGCACAGTACGTGCTTATTGGCGCTTGTCACTGGGTCTAGGAAGATCTATGCATGCATGGAAGCTAGATCGAAGAACTGCTCCGAAAGAGAAACTGACCAAGAAGAGAAAAATAGCCAGCCAACACATCTATGACACGACGGTGTGTAATATACTATTTCCGCACGCTTGTATATCAGGAGAACGTGGGAGAGGAAGCTCTGATGGATTTCTGGGTAATTTAAATTGTTGCAGCCTAGCATTTTGGTGATTGACTCGTAAATATATATAGCGATATGCTCAACCCACATCATCAGAGGCACTTACGCAATTTTTTGACACGATTATAAATAATTATAGTAGGGAAAGCAACAGACGACGCTGACGCCAATACAGGGTGTCCCAGAAAAACATCAGATTTCTGTAAACAGTATCTCAAGTAGCTAGGTATATGTACATGGAGAAAATTCAGGGACTTATTCTGGTGTACGTTTTACTGACGTGAAAACCAAAAGTTTCCGAGATACAGGGCGATAAAACTTGATGAGTGGTCGAACAGATAACTTCCCAGACAGCACAAACTGGCACAAAGTGATTCTGAGAGCGGTCTTAGAATATAGTACTGTAGAACATTTCAAATATTCTCAGAATGTTCTCAGGAAGTGCACTGAACGTTCTTAAGAACATTCAAATGGGACAAAAATTCACGTTCCAAGAACGTTCTCATAATATTTTTCAGAACATTCTATAAATATATAGTAAATCCTCAGAATGATCTAGGAATATTCTCTATATACAGAGTATACAGTTCAAACTTCCATACGCGTATCATGCATGCTTCAGGAATATCAAGATATGTGAATTAAAGCATGAATTTCGTTTCAGCACCCCTAACGGGTAGGAAGAAAGTAATTGGAGAAAAGTAGGATTTTTCACTTCATTCTCATTTTCTGAGCTCTGTGATAAGGTGGCAGTCGCTTGTCTCACAGAAAGGTAAAATGTGAGCTCTGCGCTTTTTTGCAAGGCGATCAGCTGCCTATCATTCCCTTGACGCCACATGAGCGAGAATTGATTCTCATACTTATTCATCACAAATAGGTAATTTCGATAGTTCGGATAGTTTATCAGTTTTTTATCGAAATGTTCAAAGAATACCCTATAGCATTTGGAATTATTGTATCGCAATTATAACAACTATAATTCCAGCATACAAAATTTGTTTGGCTCTCCTCTGGATGGAATCTAAGAGCATCAGCGTATGTTTTGGTGCTGAACCCCATATGTGGGAACAGTATTCTAGAAGAGGCCGTATCTGCGCTTTGTAGATCATAAGAAGCTGTTGAGGTGTAAAGTAGCTTTTCGCACGGAAAAAGAATCCGAGTTTTTGTGAAGCATGCAGCTTTTGCGATGGATCTGACATGATTATCCCATGAAAGAGTGTTGCTGATGGAAATTCCGAGCATAGATATGGTGGGCTTGGTGGGTATGGTGGTGCCAGACATTACAATATCGGGCATACTGAGTTCCGCCTTTCTAGAGAAAATACAGGCTTGAGTTTTGGTGGCGTTGAATTCAACTAGGTTGTTGGATCCCCAGGCTGTAATTTCAGCAAGGTTTTCATTGACAGCATTGACCTGCCTGCGCCGTGAGTTCTTAGTTTCCTGGGAAGATAAGGGAATTCTGGAAGAGAACGCAGTATGGAGGGTACCATCATCTGCAAAGCTGTGGATGGGGCAAGTTGTTACTCCCAACAGATCATTGATATGAAGAAGGAATAATGTTGGTGCCAAAATTGATCCTTGTGGAACGCCGGAATTGATGCCAATGGTATCAGACGATACACCGTCCACTACCACGTGAAGCGATCTGCCTGAAAGAAAACTCGATAAGAGATGGCATAGCTGAGGTGGTAAGCCGTATGATGGTAGTTTGTGGAGGAGTTCTTCGTGTCAAACACGGTCAAATGCTTTCGATATGTCCAACGCGACAGCTAGAGATTCCCCGTGTTTTTCTAATAAAGCTTGCCATAAATGGGTGACGTAGGCAAGTAGATCTCCAGTAAATCTTCGGTGGTGAAAGCCGTATTGTCTATCATTGATGATTCCTCTGAGCTCTCCAGATATTTGGTAAGCTCAATATTGATGGCTTTCTCCATCACTTTGGAGATTTACTGATAACAGGGCAATGGGCCTGTAGTTGTTGGGCAGCTTCTTGTTGTTAAGTTGAAAGGATGGACATGATGAGTGTGGCAACTATGACTACAATTGTAGCCTTAGTCTTAAGACGTCGAGTCCGAGCGCTCTAACAGCCGTTCATCTTTTTTCATATAATGACGAAATTTATACATGAGCTCGATAGGAAATTTGATGCATGATACTATTTCTCTGGGTAATACGGTAAATATGAATTATCTACGAAAACCGACGGGCAACGCTATTTTTTTAAAAGTACCCAAATTTGGTCAATTTTCAACTGGCTCTATCTCCGCACCCTTCAGTCCTACATTGATGAGCAAGAACAATTTTATCTAGGAAATTTTATCTCCTTCAACTTTTCATGGAACGGTCGTCTCGATATCATGTATATTTTCCGAGTTACGGGCAAAAAAAAAACGAAAAATGTGCGGAAATTTCGCTGTTTTTTGCTAATATCTCGGAACGCTGCAGGAAATTTTGTTTGCAAAATTCAGATTCACCTCCAATAACATATGAAACCACAGAAAAAACGACTACTTGAATTTTTTTCCGGATTGGGTCCTAATCGTTGCCGTTTTACTGAGCTAAGTAGCAATAAAGAATATATAGCTTTCCATATGAAATAACGACGAAGTTCGATAACTCCTGTTTGAAAATTTCCAGATCGGTGTCATTTTTAGAACGCCAAATGCGTCTATTGTGCACTTTAGACAGAACAGCCTGTATGTACGTCATATTTTTATCTTTCATCTCGGGAACTATGGCCACAGATCTTGCGTAAATGTGGGCAAATGAAACACAACAGCGGTAGGTAGGTACATCCTATCAATAGCAAATTCTACACATGTCTACCTACCTAACATTTTTTTATTTGGAGATTTGGAGGCTCGTCAGGGGTGTGTCTACATAGGAGAGAGAAAGAAAATCACAAGGTGCTTTTGCTTAGCAAGGCTGCTACGAAATTATAACCGGTATTTTAGCATGATCGCATGTGAAAAAGTTCATTGAGGATTATATTCGTATTCGTGTTATGTACAGTGGTAGGGGTACGTAACCGCTGTGTAGACGTAGATTTTGTCGTTTTCATCCGACATTATTTGAATTTCAGGCGACAGTTTAGTTTAGCTCAGTTCATGCTGCTCGCTGGTAGAGGAAGCATTCATTTTTTTTTCTGAAAGTTTGTGTTTAGTAACTGTAAAGTACCTACGACGTGGATGGTGTGATTTTTGTGTTACAGAAAATTTGGATTTTATAAAGGTAATTTTAGTATAAAGTATGATTTTTTACTTAAGATTTTGAAAGAACCGCTCGAACTCTGGGTATAAATGTGTTGCACGTTTTTTTTATTTCAGTGAATATTTGTCAATTTATTGAATTTTCAGTTATGCCTTCCACTTTTTATACTATATAATGTATACAGAATGTTTTCTAACCACGGTATGAATGAACTTCCTCAAAAACGCCCCTGATGATCTGATTTAGTCAAATTTAATATAACTATATTATATAGCTAATACGGTACCAAGTCGTTTGTACCAAATGGGTCGAATAGGCGAGATGTAAGCATGTATTTATGTATTTTCGATAATGATGTTTTCGAGGATATTTTTTTGCATAGGTATATTCATGTCATATATATAGGTACTCTTCCATTATTTTCCTCGAAAACGAAGCTGGGTATGGAGAAAACTCGGAGAAAACACAAGAGACCAAAGAGTTGTTATTTTAGTTGCTCAATCTAAAAAAATGAAAAATACTGAAAAAAGTAATTTTACTTTATTCTTTATTGGCTGAGGTGCCCACTGAAGAGACGCCACTGAACCTAATAATTTCTATCTTAGGGCCGAAATTAGGGCTGAATAAGCAGTAATAAGCACCCCTTACCTATACGTACCACAGTTTTAAATAACTGTAGCAACTTTCAACCAGAGAAAAAAATTCGTATTAACTCTGGTATTTTTTATTGTTATTATTTAATAACTTGAATCAGAGGCGTATTAGAAATATTTTTCTTAAATTCATGATTGATTTGATTGTGTTAAAAATTCCATGATTTCTCTTTAATATTGTGCATTTTATCATAGCCGACAACAAGAGTGGAAGAGTGGGTAATATCTTATTTTTTATGCAAGAATATCACAATAATTTCCAAAGTCTAGGCTGTGGTGAAAATGGTGGAATTTGAAACATAATTATTGCCAACAAAAAAGTTGGGGTCGAAAGGATATACTTCAAGCCGACCGGAAGTAAAAGCATACATAATTTAATCATTTTATCTTATCTTTTGTACCGTTCCAGATATCAGAAATGTCGCTCTCTTGAGAGATCAGCTTTGTGCCCTTATTTTTGATCGAGTAATCTACGCGTAGGTACCCGAATAGGTACCTATCTGTATTAGCTTTTATGGCAATAATTAAATTTCGGGTTCAACATTTGAAATCGCAAACTTGTGTTTTTATCATAAAACTCATCCTCAATTATTTTTAATCGCTTGGTGCGCACGAAAGGGAATCTCTATAATGTGCGTACCTATACAGGGTGTCCCGAAATTACATTGAATTATTTCAGCCATAGATTCTAGGAACGAAAATAGTAGAACAGTTCATATAAACATGGGTCCATAAATGAGATGTGAGGTATTGTATATAACATGTATATAATTTTTCATGCCCGATTGGAAATTTTACATAATTTTGATCAGGGGAGTGGGAAATAGGTGGGGCTAGGGATATTTCTTCCATTGACCATCAGGAATTATATGAAAATATAATGTTTACGTAATGTTTAGTTTCGATAGCACCATTTTGAGATGAACCGATTTTAAAAGTCTGCTGCGTAATAAAAATTGTACTTTTTCTTAATAGGGGATCTATCATAATATTTTCAAATTTATTCTTTTTACTTTCCCTCCTATATTTTGAATCAAACACCACAAGCAGATGTTGAAAAAACACTATTTTTCTGTGACGGGAAAAAAGTTTGGCATATCATCTCTGTTGGCAGGTTATAAAATGTCACTTTTCATAAATTACTTTCTACCCCTGGGAAAAAAGTGAGTACTTTTTTCCCGGATATATATCACATATATATACACTGTTGGTGGCTTTTGTTGTGCTATAGTTCCGAAAAATGAGTCAATAATACCGTCTCCGAGAGAGAACTGCAAGTCCTTTTATCTTCCATTCGACTTCGCGGTTACGTATATTACTAAACAACCACTAAATTCGCAATTTTTTGAAATCAAATCACAGAATTAGACTGACTACAGTGACATCAGATATTTGATTACTTCGAAAGAATGATAAGATGCCTACAACGCAGGTGTCCCTACTGTTAAAAACTTAAAATTTCACGTCGATAATTTTCAGATTTCAAAATAATGTAATATCTTCTCAATATTGATTCGTCCTTTCTTCTGTCACAGAAAAAAATACTGTATTATACACGGGAAAAATATTAGATTTTAGCTCACGGGTTTTTGTCTCCCTCCACTACGCGTTGGGAGACAACACAACCTGGAGCTAAAATCTACTACTTTTTTCCCTTGTATAATAAATAACTATTTTTGTTACGCAGCAGACTTTTAAAGTCGATTCATCTTGAAACTGGTGAGTGCTATCGAAACTAAACAGGTGTATAATTTTTACGTAAAAATTATGATATTTTCATATTTTCTGGTCAAAATGACGAAAATTGCATAGAAAAAAAGTTCGGGGAAGAAATGTCCCTAGCCCAACCTATTTCCTACGCTCCTGATAAACATTTCGGAAAATTCTCAACATTTCCAAATCGGGCATGAAATATATTTGACTTTAGTTCAAATGCCGTCAATTAATTGTCCATGGCATACTATACCTTTGTAATGCATAATGATTCGGATCGAGAAATATACCGCCTGAAGCACAATTTCAAAAATGATGCTTCAAAATCGAAAAAAATCGAGAAAGCTTCGAGAGACGATAGAACAATTTTCATATTTCAAAAATCTCCATCAAAAGCAAAAAATCTCGCGAATTACTTCTCATTTCTTAGTAAAACAGAAAAATTTCAGTAAATTAATAACGCGTCAGGTTGCCATTATACCATCGGCTTTTTCAATTTAAATTGAAGGTAATGATGCGATTTGTTTCCATTGGAGAAAGTTTGAATTAATTCACGACTTAAATCACTGACTTAATTCATGTGAATTAATTCGTGCCAACCCTGATTGGTGTAGCAATCCGGATTCGAGTCCGGATTTTTAGGTAATCCGGAATAATATATGTGTCGACGTCAAACAGTGATCATTCACGTCATTCTCTGGAATGTCTAGTCATTTCACGTATTGCCGGCGAACAGCATAACTCTAAATTTCGTACACCGTTTGCCAAATAGTTTCAGGGATTTTCTGAAAAATATACTTTCTAGGAAGAAGGTTCATTTTAGGCGGAAAAATAGTCTCCCTTCTTATGCATATGCAGAAAGGATATTTTCCTAGGCATTTCAGAAGGGTGTATGTCGTAAGCGCGCAGCTTTCAGTTTAATCCATACAGAGTATAAAAGGGTTCTAAAAGGGACGGGCTGATTGCGCGCGTACATGATATTAGTACCTGTCCCTAATAGCAGGGGGTGGGCAGGTCTTTCAGTACACATTAAATTACATTTACTCACTATTATTCAGAAGAAGTTTACGTGTAAAGTATACCGAAATGGACACCATGTTGAGTGAGCGAGGAAAAAAATTATTAATAGTTAAAAGTTACACTTTAGATAGAGAAACTATATTAGGTGTTTCATATCGCTGTACAAAGCGAGGAAGTCCAGCTTCGATTTCTGTGGATAAATCAGAAGATGTGTTGGGACAGCAAAAAGGCAAGCACAGTCACGCTTTTGATGAAAATCTACACGTTAAGGTAAGTGTTTAATAATTATATTTTTTACTACTCTTATAAACCTCAAAAATTATAGTAGATATATATTATTTATATATTTTAATGTTGTTTCACAGAAATTACAAAACGGAATTAAAAGGAAGGCTGTAGAAGACATATCGCAAAGACCTTCTAAGATCATCAATGAAGTGAATCTCAAAACACGGGACCTTGATAATATAAGAAAAAGTGTATATCTATCAAGACGAAGCGTTTTGCCAGTTTCACCTCAATCATTAGAAGACCTCCTAGAATCTATTGTTATTAAAACATATAAGGACGAAGAATTTTTATTGGTAAATAACACGACTGACGAACTTAAATGTAATAATATTTTCCTGTCAAACAAATTTACAGTATGTGTTCACGACCTAAAATTTATGTAGACGGAACTTTCAGTTATTGTCCCAAATTTTTAACTCAATTATTTACGACACATACAGTAGAAAACGGACATTATATACCTTTAGTATTCATTTTACTGCCAAACAAACAATCTAATACTTACTTTGAGGCATTTAAGCATTTAAAAAGTTATTGTGCCAGTATATAAATTCAACTTTGGAGCCCAAAGAAATCGTTAGTGATTTTGAAAAAGCGATACACGTTGGAGTTAAGAAAATTTGGACAGACATAAATATAATAGGGTGTAGGTTTCATTTGACCCAGTCCTGGTATCGTAAAATTCAAAATGTTGGGTTGCATTACACTTTTGGGTTATTATTTCTAAATCCTAACGAAGTTTGTTGTTTGTAGAAGACCTTTATCCAGATCTACCTCAGAATACTAAACTAATTGAATATGTTGATTATTTAGTTGATAATTATATATCTGATGATTCCGTTTTTCCTCCAAAAATGTGGGCTCCTTGTAATAGTGATAAAGAACCTCGTAAAGAACGTACAACAAAAAATGCTTGTGAATCATTCCACAGTCATTTCTACTCCAGTTTTTATGTAGCGCATCTAGATAGATATTTTTAAATTTATCAATGTTTTAAAAGATGTACAAGTTAATACATACAGGGTGGCCCACGAGGTTTTGGCCAGTCGATATCTCGAAAACTATTTGAACTACAATTTTGAATTTTTGTGGTTTTGAACAATGGAATGCGGTGACCATTTTTGGTATAAGAGGGTTTCATTGCAACATCGCATTTCCAATCACGTGTTATCAACTTCAAAATTTTAAATGAAACACCCTGTATATTATTGCATTTTTGTGAAGACCTTTATAATGCAAATACTACGATACCATCATTGTCAGGGTTGTCATGTGAAACGGTGACAATATGAGCTGTCAAATAACTGGAAAATGTATTAAAGAACAACAGTTTAATTAGGAAAC